TCGATCCGGTAAAGCGATCATGAGAGGGCGGGTAGAACAAAGCGCTTGACTACCTTCTAGGATGACAAGCTAGTTATAGGTAATAGAATGCGGACATAGAAATAAATCAGATCATATATCGAAAATGGAGAAACTAATTATCGGGGATGCCTTTTAGTGGAATGGCTTGGAGAGTTAGAAGAATTCCAAGGTTAAGCGTGCTCACTTAACGAAAATCTTAGGATGAGTGATCTCCTGGGAAGTTTTCCATTTTTACCTATGAGACAAAACCGTGCGGTTCTTGTCAATCTCAGTATGAGATGGAATTGGCTTGATCCGAAGTATGTGATGGAATTAGCTTCATCCGAATTATGGAATGGATTGGCTTGATCCGAATTATGGCGGACAATTCTTTTAGTGATTGGAGTTGAACATGACATAAATAATTTATATATTTTGCAGGTCTCGCTTTTTTTTTTTTTTTCCGAGTAAAAACTTGTTTTGAAATGATGCTATTGGAATATGTTACAGTTTAAGGCTTATTGTATGTATGTTAATAAATATTTTTTAGTTTATTGGCTTTATTTCTTATAAAGAAATTTAGTTTTATTCATTGTTGTTGCTTATTATTATTATTATTATTATTATTATTATTAAGAAATTTGTTTTAAAATATTGTGATTAGAATATTTTGTTGTTTGTGAGAATTGTTGTATGAATATGCTGCTAAGTATGTTAATTTTTGTTGGTTATTCTTCTTAAATAGTTGTATTTTATTAAAAATTATTTTTAATATTTATCATTTATTTAAACCATAAGTTTATATTGAATCTATATCCAATCCAACTTATTTGTAAACTGCATGTTTATTCATTCGATGACTTGAACTGGATAAAAAACATCATTGACACATATTGGGTATTTTGAATCGATAAATTTAATCCAAACTAACCCACGTATAGCTCTAGGAATAGATAATTTTACATTAATAAATATTATTAAATATAAATATTTATTTCGTTCATATTTTATTATTTATTTTTAGTATTTTATCATTTACATTTCTTCTTAAAAGAATAGGAAAGAGAGATGACAATCTGAACAAAAAATGAATGAAGTGAAAAAAATTTAATAAATTAGAATATTTTGATATTTTGACAAAACAATTTTAGTAAAATGTACGTAACAGAAAAATATTAAGGATTATAAATGGAATTTTCACAAATAAATTGGTTGATTTAAAAGTGTATATATATATATATATATATATGTATAATATATATATATATATAATATAAATTTTTTTTTTTTTCCCTTTCGGTACAAAGGGAACTAACGGTATATAAATTTTTTTTTTTTTCCCCTTTTCGGTACAAAGGGACTAACGGAGAGCAAAGGTCTCAAAGGCAACTTACAAACACAGCGTTGAATATGAATGAAGAAGTTCCATTAGCATCATGTAAGACTAAGAATCATCAAGAGAGATACTATACTTAGCTTTAAACATGGATGTTATCGTTTATTTAATAATTTAGTTAATATTGGATATATCTTTTCTTAGTTTATGTGAATAACATTTTGATTAATGAAAATGAGATATCCCATATGACTAACTAAATTGATCTTCTTAAATAATGCTGGATATTTCAATTAGCGTTTGCAGACAGATTTTTATATTGTGGGTTAGATCGCAAGAGGATTAGGTGAAATCGTAGGAGGATTATGTGAAGTTAAATTGTGATAGCAGTAGTTCTATTAATTCGGAATCTTGCTCTAGCCGCATTCAGCTTAAGGAAAGGTTTTCTTTTCCTTTCCATGTAGTTTGGAGAAGTAGTTGGATGCAATGACAGAGCAATCGGGGGCTTACTAGTGATGATGATTGTATTGGGATTGTATGAAAAGGTGGCTTGGAAGTTATCGTCTTAATACTGGTCATTCTATGATTTTGGTTAGTGAATTGTCTGCTATTCGGGCTGATCTGGTTCTTGCTTGGGACCGTGGTTTTGGAAGGATTGTTACTGAATCTGATTGTTAGAAGGTTGTGCGGTTACTCCATTCAGAGTTGTTTCTTTCTCATCCATTAGCAGTTCTTATCTTAGATATTTAGAATTTATTGGTTCATGATTGGGGTTGCTCTCTTCATCATATTTTCTACGAAATTAATTTTGCGGCTGATTATTTGTCTAAGTTGGGTCATTCTATTCCTTCTTTGTTATTCATTTGGGATTTTAGTACTACTCCTTTGTCTTTGATAATTTGAGATAATGCTTGCAGTATTGACTTTTTGAGATAGGTTCCTTTTTGTTCTCTTTTTATTACCAAAAAAAAAAAATGTTGGATATTAACTACAGAATAACTAAAAAGAATAATTTTGACTCCCTTATTACTTAAGATAATAATTTGACCTAATTAAACTCTCTCTCTCTCTACAAATATAAATCATTTAATATTATTGCATTGTAATTAAGAAAATAATTAATTTTTCTAAATTGTAATACATATAAATTAATTTGGCTAATTTATCCTTTAAAAAATTACAGAGATAATTATCGCATTTAATATAAATAAAGGCATAATTTTAAAAAAATATCATCAATTACTCATTAATATTCTTAAAACAGCTTATATTTGTAAACAAAGGAACTATCCTAAAATGACTTATTTTCATAGACGTAGAGAGTACCTTACTTGATTATTTTGAAATTCTACATCAAGATCTCACAATTTTAAAAATAAATTTAATACTACTAAATTACTTCATCTCTCTCATAATTTTTGTCATGATTTGACTTATACAAAAATTAAAAAAATTTAGTTAATATGGTTCAACCATAATTTTTTGCTTTGCTTTTCTATTATATACCCTTATGTTTAATATCCATTAAAATTAAATGATCCCTATTAAAATATTATTGAAATTAATCAAATTATAATCAAACATTGGAAGATTAAATGTTGCTATTTTAATTATATTTATATCAGGACTTAATTTTTTTTGAAAAAAATATTAAGATTTAATTAATGATAATGTAGTAGTTTCACTATTATATTTGTTGACAAAGAAACATAAAATAAAGACAAAATAATAAATTTCACTTCTAAAAAAGGAAAGAAGACAAGTAATTTAGAATGAATAAAAAAGGAAGATAGGAGAAGAATTGTGAGGAAGAGGGAGTAAAGTTTATGGATGAGTAAAAGCATCTCCAATGCTAATGAGTATTACTCTTATTTAATTACCACATTAGAAAAATAGAAAGATTTAAAAAAAAAAAAAAAAAACTCTTCAATACTAATGTCTATTTTGTACGTCAAGTTGAGATGTCAAATAAAAAAAATAGATATTGTCTACCATACCTTTTATTTCTAGAGAATCACTTACACAATGTGAACATTTATTACTCTATAATAATTGATTATATAGTAAATTATAGACCCAGAAAAGAAAGAGAATGTAAGAGGATTTAAAAGTAGCGCATTAAAGAGAAAATTTTAAAATTCAACATTTATAAATAGACATTCAGTCATATAATTATTTGTACATTCTATTTGATATGATACATCAGCCATAATTCACATTAGTACTGGACATACTCTAAGCATTAAATCCATTTATTGTGATACATGACAACATGTTTAAGATTCAAAAGTCTAATTACTCTTTAAGAGTTTCCTATTTGTTGGCCGCTATACCTATCTACTCCAAGAAGTAAAAATTATAAAAACCCTATTAAACTTATGATAGTGAAATGTTAACTAAAATCTACTCCAACAAGTAAAAATTATAAAAACCCTAATAAACTTATGATAGTGAAATGTTAACTAAAATTTTCTCTCTATCGTGATGGAAATGAAATACCAAACCATTAATGACATTGTCGAGATGATAATTTTAGCATACATATTAACTTATGATAGTGAAATGTTAACTAAAATTTTCTCTCTATCGTGATGGAAATGAAATACCAAACCATTAATGACATTGTCGAGATGATAATTTTAGCATACATATTTGAATTAATCATGATGCGATTTGAGTAGCATATTTTTGGTCCTCCTTATAAGGCTTTTAGCCTCCTCTTTTATATTAAAAGAAATTATAAATATATAAACTAATCTCTTAAATAAAAATACCATTTAGAAGTGGATTTCGGAATTTGAATCTTAAAAAGAAAAATCATTCACAATACTACAAATTATATCATCAAGTGAATTTTATAAGTCGGTGTATGATGGGTAGATAAGTTCACAATCCAAACATGAAAACGCTTATGCAAATCTACATATGTATATATATTTAATACTTGCTTAAGGAATCAAAATTCGAAAAATAAGGATTTGAAAATATGTAAAATGAGCAGGAAAGAGAATCATATAAACACATAATTATAATTATCACATACCTAATTAGGCTGTTTGGATAGAATTATACAGTTTAGTTGATTTAATCATTGGCTCTTCAAATTAAAGAGAATGCTAATTTCTGTCATACAATATAACATTTTTTTTTTTTTCTCTAGGAAGGATGTTCCTTTTCAATGAACAATTAAAGGACTTAAAGAAATATTCTTTTGAATTTTGTAATCCAGCTTTTATTTCTTCAATTACACAAACTGCTCTTTTCAGTTAGTAGTGCTTGTGTTGTTCACCTGCTCATGTACACATGCATCTGGGCAAATATTTATTCACCTACTTTTCCCAGAGTTTAATATACCGATTCAGGTATTAGACCAAAAAAGTCAAAAAGATAAAATTAAAAACAAGTATATATATAAAATAAAAACAAGATATTTCTATATAACCATATACTATATATCTATATATATATATACACTCACTACTCTATATATATTATATATACTACCTATACATGGCAAGTGAGTAAAGGTCTTCGTTTCTTTGGTATCCCTATACACATCTCCATTTCTCTGTTTTATCTCTTTTAGCTCAAATGAAGAGCTTCATGCTTCAAATGGAGCTTCCCTTAATATATATATGCATGAGTAAGGTCTCGTTCTTTGTATCCTATATCTCCATTTCCTGTTTCTCTCTTTTACTCAAATGAAGAAGCTTCATGCTTCAATGGAGCTTCCCTTTAGCCATCCGCATAAAATACAAAAGACACCAGTCCTGCTACTAATTACCTTTACCCTAATTCTTCTCACAATAGTTCCCTTATGTTACCCTTTATTAGGGCACCCCTTATATTTGTTTCAGAACTTTTCGAGTTCATCGTCTTATTCTTCCAGGGATAATCTATCAAGTAAAAAGAAATGTGATATATTCTCAGGAGAGTGGGTTCCAAATCCTGAAGCTCCATACTACACAAACACAACATGTTGGGCAATACATGAGCACCAAAATTGCATGAAATATGGAAGACCCGACACCGATTTCATGAAATGGAGATGGAAACCTGATGGGTGTGACCTACCCGTTTTCGACCCGGTTCAGTTCTTGGAAGTTGTTAGAGGCAAGTCTATGGCTTTTGTTGGAGACTCTGTTGGTAGAAACCATATGCAGTCTTTAATATGTCTCTTATCTAAGGTAAGCCCCCACTTTTACAGTAATGCTAATGGAAATTTTTATTATTAAAACTAAACTGAACCAAATTAATTGAAATTTAACAAAACTCATATTAAACTAAACTAAATTATTAAAAAATGAATTAAAATGATAGAAACTGAGTTGATTTAGTTTTGTTTTTTATTAATTAAATCGAATGTTCATCCTTATCAGTTATGATTTATAAAACGGAAAAAAGAAATGTTCAAATGAAATAAAATAATTAATAAATATGTTTGAGAATAAACTAACAAAGTGTTGATTGTGGTGATAAGCGACTTTAATTTACGTAAGAGTGAAAATATAAATTTGATTCTCGAAAAACGAACTTTGAGAAATGACTACTTGAATTAATCCTCCTCATCATCTTATTTTCATATTTATTTCTTAACAAACTTCTGTTATCTTGTATTATCCACATTTTACCAACCTGTAACAACCATATGACAATCCCTCTGAACATCGCCAAGCTTTAGGTTTAATCAAACACTTGATTTATAAGGAGTCGGTGGCTAAACCCGCTTACCGAACCTTAAAATCATGTCCTCTTATATCCAATTTAAGAAGAATAAAGTTATATGATATAATATAAAAGTAATTATTAAAAATTTTTTAAAAATCATTAGAGATTTAAAATAGATTATTTATACCAGAAAGATGAGAGTAATTGGTTATTTTGATGGTGTATTTAGCGATTTTGATGGGGCAGAAGTATAAATTCACTTAAGTACTTTAGGTAAAAAAAAATCTCATATCACTCCTAACGTTTATTGAATATATAAACACTTTAACTTGCATACTTTTTCTATTGAATATTATAACTCATAAAATTAAAATAATTAAATATTTATTGCAGATAGATCCGTAACGTTACCAAAATTTATAACTTTGGATGAAACACAAATTTCTTATAAAATTTGGGTGCTAAAATTTTAAAGTTTAAGGGTAAATTTGTGTATAAATTATTTTGATGAAATTCAGATAATACTTTTCTATTCTTTTTCTAATATTTTGTTTCTGCATGAATAAAAAAAATGGTTATTATTATTTATAATTTCAGATTTAAAATATAATTAAAAAATCTTTTAAATTGAAAAATAAATTGTAAACAATCTTCTAAAGTAAGATAAAATCATAAAATTTAAGATATATTAACTTTTTAGGCTTAATATTTTTCAATTAAAGATGTGGTTTTGCTCATATTTTAAATTTCTGATTTTTTATACAATAGATAATACTCTATTATTTAATTAATAACTTTCTTTTGGGTCCATTTTGTCCTCTAATAAGTAATTAATTTCAGGTGGAATACCCCATAGATATTTCATACACTCCAAATGAGCAATTCAAACGCTGGAAATATCTATCATACAATTTCACAATGGCAACATTTTGGGCACCCCATTTAGTAAAGGCCCAAGAAGCAGACTCTGATGGGCCCACCCACACAGGCCTATTCAATCTTTACCTTGATGAATTTAATGAAGAATGGACGGCCCAGATTGAAGAATTCAATTTTGTCATCATAAATGCTGGCCATTGGTTTTTCCGTCCAAGTATTTACTATGAAAATCATAAAATGATTGGGTGTCACCATTGCCTATTAGAAAATGTCACTAATTTAGCTATGTCTTATGGGTATAGAAAGGCCTTTAGGACTGCCTTTAGTGCCCTAAATAGCTTAGAAAATTATAAGGGCATAACATTTCTTAGGACATTTGCACCTTCACACTTTGAAAATGGGGAATGGAATAAAGGAGGGAATTGTTTGAGGAAAAGACCTTTTAGGGCTAGTGAGACCAAATTAGAAGGTATAACCCTAGAGCTTTATATGGCACAAGTAGAGGAATTTAGGGTTGCTAAAAGGGAAGGGGGAAAAAGGGGATTGAAATTTAGGTTACTTGACACTACACAAGCAATGTTATTAAGGGCAGATGGTCACCCCAGTAGATATGGGCATTGGCCACATGAAAATGTCACATTATATAATGATTGTGTGCATTGGTGCTTACCTGGACCAATTGACACGTGGAATGATTTCTTGCTTGAGATGTTGAAGATGGAATTAGGTGGCCATGATGGTCAAAAGCAGAAGAAGCTTTACTCAAGTGAGAGGAAATTGAAGTTTAGATAAATTTAAAATTAGTCTTTTCATCATTATTATTATTTGATGGTTGTTTATTAATTATTGTAGTTGAGGGTTTATGAATTATGATGGTTTTTGAAAATTAATGATTTCTCAAAATAAATAAATAAATAAAATGATAAACTTAATACAACGTGTGAAAATTGGTATATGGTAATATTATTTTATTATCAATTTTTTTCAAAAAAAAAAAAATTCTTATTGATTAATGTCTGTATATTGATCAGAATATAAGAAAGTTAGCCGGTTATATCATTTAAATCTGTATTTTGTATGTTTTTTTTTTTTTTTTTTTTTTTTTTTTTGATGGTTGTCTTATTTACCCATTATTGTAGTGAGGGTTTATGAATTATTGATGGTTGTTTTTTGAAAATGTATCTGATTTCTACAATAATAATACTATATTTTTAAATAAAATGAATACACCCTTAATACAATTCGTGTGAAAACTTGGTATATCTGGCTAATATTATTCTTATTATCCAATTTTTTCCAAAACAATATATAAAACAAATTTCTTTATTGATTAATGTTCTGTAATTGATCAGACAAAATACCACTACAGAACAGTTAGCCTGGTTTTATAATCATTTAAATCTCTGTATTTCTGTAGGTATGTTTTTTTTTTTTTTTCTTTTTTTTTTTTTTTCGTCGTTTCTTTTAACTATATAATATGTAGTAAGTTGCGACAAAAAACAAAGATATATAACATCTAACATTTCAACCTGGTGGTTCATCTTATGCAATTTCTTAGCATTTAAATATGCTTGGAGCGAACCGATTCTTCCAACTATTTTTGGCCTTTTCATCAAGCAGATTCTTTGTTTATGCAATACCCTTTTTAGCACAAAGTTAATTAAGCATAATAACTTTTTTTTTTTTTTTTTTTTTTTTTTTGTGTTTCTTTTAACTATATTATTGTAAGTTGCGACAAAAAAGAAATAAATCATTCAATGGTGTTCATTTTGTTTCTTAGCATTTAAGTCATGCTTGGGACCATTCTTCCAACTATTTTTGCCTTTTCATCAGCAGATTCTTTGTTTCATGACACCCTTTTAGCACAAGTTAATTAAGCATAATAACATAACTTAATGCATATCATGACAATGATGAACTAATTAATTATTCCATCCCATCATCTCTTTTAATGGTTCACAAAAAAAATGCAACTAATGTTAATTATTACAACGGTTTTGTCGTTTTGTGAAAAATTAGAATTAAAACTTTAAATGCATTTTAATTAGAAATTTAGCATTACTCAAATTAAATTAATCTGAGGTCATGGATTCAAATTACGGAAACAGTTTTTCTATAGAAACTCAAAAGACCCCGCAATTGTCTATCTTACTCTCTCGGTGAAGGAAATTTATCTTCATCATTATTGAGGTATATATTACCTACCCATTGATGTCTCTCATATGCATTTTTTCTCCCAAAATTTTTTCTCCAATTAGGTCTTTATTTCATTGACATGTAACCTAGATAGCTACCATGATAATCAAACATTTCCTAGTAGCCGTTTCCCTTATTCTTGTCACTGTTATTCCTCTCCATATCTTGAAGTATTCCAGATCTTCTCAGTGGCCATCACCTGCTAAACTCATAAAAGTTGGGAAAGAATGTAATATTTTCCATGGAAAATGGATTTGGTACCCCAATACTGGAAGTCACTATACTAATACGACATGTCGTGGAATCTCTGATCACCAAAACTGCATCAAGTTTGGAAGACTTGACACTGATTTCTTGAAATGGAGATGGAAACCAGAGCAATGTGAGTTATCTTTATTTAATGCAACACAATTCTTGGAGCTTGTAAGAGGAAAATCAATGGCCTTCGTTGGGGACTCTTTAGGAAGAAATCATATGGAGTCACTTCTTTGCCTCTTGGCCACTGTAAGTGACACTATACTCTAAATTTTAAGAGCTAAATGATCTTTAATAATTCTGATTCTTTCTCCAAAATTCACAGGTAGGCTACCCCTTAGATGTAAATACATCAGATCCAAGTTTCAAAAAATGGGTTTTTGTGAACTACAATTTCACATTAGCTTCCTTTTGGTCACCTCATTTGGTTAAAGCCATTGACACAGAACCAAATGGCCCAACCTACAATCGCCTGATGAATCTTTACTTGGATGAAGCAAATGAAGCCTGGGCAGCTCAGATTGAGGCATTTGACTATGTAATAATCTCAGCTGGAAGATGGTTCTATGGTCCCCAAGTGTTCTTTGAAAAGGGCAAGACTGTTGGTTGTTATTTATGCCTGAAAAATAACATCAAGAACCTCACTATGTTCTATGGATACAGAAGGGTTTTTAGAACTGCTTTTAAAACCCTAATGGGTCTTAAAAATTTTAATGGAGTAACATTTTTGAGGACATTGTCACCCTCACATTTTGAAAATGGGGAGTGGGACAAAGGAGGGAATTGTATAAGGACAAGGCCAATTTCTAGTGGAGAAGTGAAATTGGATGAGAATGATATGAGGCTATATGTGACTCAAATTGAGGAGTTAAAGAGAGCAGAAAGGGAAGGGAAGAAAAGGGGTTTGAAATTTAGATTGTTAGATATAATGGAAGCTATGATTGTGAGGGCAGATGGACATCCTAACAATTTTGGGCATTGGGAAGATGAAAATGTGAGAATTTCTGATTGTGTGCATTGGTGCTTGCCTGGCCCTGTTGATACTTGGAATGAGTTCTTGCTTCATATGTTGAAGATGGAAAAGGAGACAAGTTAGGCTTTGTTTGGATGATGCAAGGAAAGGTTTGTTTAAGTAAAGTAATGTCGGTAAGGTAACACCAAAAAAAGTAAAGTAATGTAAGGCATGGTAAAGCAATGTAAGGTACTTTTTATATTTAGAAGGAAGATAAAAACAAAACAATTGGATATGTGGAAAGATCTCTTGAGTTCGATCTCTACTAAATATACCATCCTTACTAAATATACCTGTAGAGAAGGGTGAAGAATCTCAACTGTAATTAAACTCTAAGCAGATTAGTCGGTCTCTGAAATTAATTGATCTCTCTTTATAACGTAGATCCTACACTTTCTGAAAATATTAAAAAGTAAATTTAACAATGAGATTATAAAAATATTCTCCTACGAAAGTTATTATTTGAGATATATAAATTGATTAGAGCTATTCTTAATGAAATATTAATTCATTAAGTAAATTAACCGTATATATATTTACCACTAGACTGTCTTGGTATATTATTCTTCTTAAATTAAATTTTCAATGATATTAAAATAAGAATATCTATTAATAAAATATTAAAAAAGGCAATTTGGAATTTTTTAAAAATAAACATAGGCAATATGAGAAATAAAAAATTTAACCGTTTACAAATGTCCAAATTATTGGGTTGATAGATGACCATATAAATAAATATCTCCGATTCTCCTAATCTTTTTTTGAAACTTTAACTCATATTTTATTAATAATAATCAGAAAAAATTTAATATAAAGATTCATTTTAATCCAGACCAATAGGTCCAAACCGATTCTCCTAATCTTACAACCAAACAATATAATAATTTAAACTTTAGTTTACTTTATTCTCAAAAACCTCCAAAAATCACCTATCCAAATAAAGTCTTAGAGATATTGGTACTTAATTGGATCACGTCGGCTGTCTGCCTTGCTGTGCCAGAGGTCAAGGGATTTCAATTTTAAAAGGTTAAGAAGTTTGTGAAAGTTTTCAAATTTTATCATAATTACTTGGATGTATCATGTATGGCAATTGAAGTAAAAATGTGTAAGAAAATACTTTTTACAATTTTTCGTTATTTGGAGTATTCAAAAAAATAAATTAATAAAAAATGTTTAATTTCTTAATCAAAGAAAAATTAAAAAAAATATTTTCTGGATATTGAAAAACCTAATAAATCCATATTTTTTTTATTTTATTAATCATTCTAATCACTACTATCAGTCACCATTTATCACCGACCACCACCACCGGCGGCTTTCATAACAATAAAATGTTTAAATTATAAAATTTCTATTATTATTAATATTTTTACATCTTATGAGATAAAGACTTTAATATTTTTTAATCCACTATTTTTTTTTATTAATTCATTCTACATTCACTCACTATGCAGTCCACCATATATATCACCAGCCCTAGAAGTCGCCGCTGCCTCTCGACCACCACCTACACTAGGCGGCTTTCATACATAAAATGTTTAAATTAATAAAATTTTTTCTATTTTACTTATATTCTCCTTAAAATTTCTATTATTATTAATATTTTTACATCTTATGAGATAAAGACTTTAATATTTTTAACTAATTTTTAATATTACAATCAAACAACTGAAAATAAATCATTTAACAAATATTTTTTAACAAGTTATTTTATAAAAATAAACGGAGCATGATATAATATACTAGCAATGGGAAATTTTTGAATATCTACTTAGAGTGAAAGGTTATGGGAAAAGAGAGAGTTAATCTCAAATATATATAATTTAAATTTTAATGTCAAAAAATTACTTAATTTTCTCAAAATCACGTGTAAATCTACACGCTACAAAACACACATACTCTGATCCTTTAGCAAATCAATAGAATTATTTATATTCTTTTGATTAATAAAACTAAAATTAAAAGAAATAATATTGAATCTTTCCGCTTGAAAATGATTCTGACTGATATAAATTTTTATAACAGCAACTAGTCTTTTAATTGATTTAGATGACAAAATAAATTCTTTAGATTTTCTATATTTGGATTGTTTTTTCAAAAGTTTATTGCATATGACGTACATAGATGAGTTCATGCCACTATATGTTAATAGCATCAATGGAGGAACATGTCATACTACCAGACTCCATTGATCGAAGATACACATTAGTAAAACATGATCTAAATTCTCCAACCAAATAAAATCAAATATCATACCTTTTAGTAACAAACCTTCACAAAGAACCTCACAGAAAAAGGGACAAAAGAACTCCAAATATGGATACAAATCAATAATAACAAAAAAAAAAAAAAAAAAAAGGAACTCCAAATATGGATACAAATCAATTAATAAACAAAAAAAAAAAAAAAACACAAAGAAAAAAATAGAATAAGTTAGAAGAAAAATGCTATCTGAGTTTATTAAAATGAGATCGAAAAATCAGGAGCGAAAAAAAAATTAGATTAGGGCTAAGGAGAGAGACAACATAAAAGATATAGCGGTTTTAATGTCTTTGGCCTGGTCAATAAAAGAGTATATCATACAGATATATAATATACTATATATCATAGTAAAGTATAATACTATATACTTATATAGTATGATATATAATGGTAATGTCTACTTACAGTCTTTTTATGATCTTTGACGTCGAATTCAATTATTAAAATTTTACGCAAACAGTAGGCCATTCAATATATAAGTAATTCTACACTTAACAGTCTTTTTATATCTTTACGTCAATTATTATTAAAATTTTACCAAACAGTAGGCATTCAATCAACGAGCAATTGTAGATTTAAACTATTATAAATATGTTTGAGATCTTTTTCAAAAAAAAAATATGTTTGAGATACAAATTTATATTTTAAGCATCCACTGTTTTAAATTGGTTCGATTGTGGATATCCTTCCTATATATATATAATCGTGAAGCAAAAAATAAAAAAAAAATAAGAATCTTACTTTGCACTCTCTGCATCTAGCATTTCTATTTCTCTTTTTTTTACAAAATTTTGAATTTCTATCTTATTTTTTTTGAATTTTTGATTGGATGATTCTTTTAAATGTTTTTATAATAATAATAATTAATCTAAAATTATTGAATTTTAAAACTTTAAACCTTTTAAATTTTTGAATTTTTTTTGTTAATGATTTTTCACAATGGTTTTCTTCATGTTATTTTGTTGTTACTTAGGATTATTTTGCTTTCAATTTTTTGAGTTTTAATTGTGCTCTATAAATTTTTATTTTTTCATTTTAATATATATTGTTATTATTGTTTTTCAGATTTTGAGTCGCAAAAGGACGATATTAGTAACTTCAATCGATATATATCACGTCTTTTCTTCTTCAATTAAATACAATAAGTTATATGATATAGAGTATGTTTAGTAGTAAGTTTTTTTCTTTATTTATGTAGTTTTTATACTTAAGAATGAAACGTCGGTATTTATTTATTATTATTATGATTACTATTGTTGTTGTTGTTACTATTTTTTTCATTTCGTTTATCTGTTTTGTTTACTAGGTAGGAGATTATTATTATTTACAAAAATGATTTAAAATAAAAAATGAAAAAAATATTAAATTCAATAAATATATTTAAAATAACAAATACATATAAGATAACATCTAATAAATTAAAAAAATACATTTAATACATTAAAAATAAATACATTTAATACCATTTTATATTTAAAATGATATTTTTATTCTTTAAATTTTATTTTTATTATTTAAATATTAAAAAATTAAATTTTAAATACTTTTAATTTTATTTTATGTCTATTTATTTATAATGATTATATCTTTTTATATCTTTATATTTTCATCACCATCATATTTGAAGATGATCAATAGAAGAAACTTGCAAGTGGAATAATTTTTTTCATATTTGGTAAAATAATTTTATTCATCATCAACATCATACTTGAAAATGATCAATTTAATTTTCTAGAAATAATTATATGGTACAAATATCATTTATTATTTAATATTTATTTTATGATTTTAATTTTTAAAAAATAATAAAATATTTATTTTATGATTTTAATTTTTAAAAAAAAATTAAATAATTTAAACGTTGGTTTTCCTTTTATTTGGTACAAATATCATTTATTATTTAATATTTATTTTATGATTTTAATTTTTAAAAAATAATAATTAAACTTGGTTTTTCTTTTATTTGCAATTGCAAAAAGTTTGAATAAAAAAAGAATCATATAATCAATTGCCAAAATTATAATATTTTTCTAAAATTGAAAAATGAACATAATTTATGTTTTTTGTTAAAAAAAATTAGCCTAATAAAAATCACAAAAGTTTAATTTTATCAATATAAATAACAGTAATTATTAACTCATCTAAATCTATTTTTTAAAGAAAATCAAAATCCCACATAATACCTTTACCTAGTTAGTTATCAAAAAAATATCTTAAATGGATGAGTAGTTTAAAAATTAATAGATGCCCCATCTATTTATGGGATACCCTTAATGAATTTGATAATAAATATTGACAAGTCCAAATACGAATACTTAGCTAAGTATTTTAATAGCTTTGAAATTGACGTGGATAGTAAAATTCAATATCAATTCAAGTGTGAATTGTTCAAAGTTAGCCATTGCCTTAGCTCATCAAAGGGGTCAAAACAACCGTGGTCGAAAAGATTTGAATTCGAAATCTCTCACTTCTCACATAAATGAGAAGATCAATCAGACCACTACCTAGTTAGCATCATACTTCCATCTTTAAATATAAGTATTCTATCTTATTTAATAATTTAATGTGTAAATATATTAAAAAATTATTTACTAGTACGAGAAATATGTATAATATTATTAAAATTTATAACTTTAAAAATATAATAAATTAACATAAAATATATGGATAAATTTATATATTTAACTCTATATTATTATTATTACTACTGCTATATCACCGTTGCTATCATATAATATATAAAGCCATTTTCATTTTGTCGAAAAGAGAAACTAATAACGTGTCAAAGCAGAATGAGACTTCTTTTCATTCCTTAAGAAAGAAAAAAGAAATATTGAAGAAGAAATGATGGAATGTGATTGGAATGAACATTTGTCTATTTGCAAACATGTGAAATTTGGAATCTTCAATAACTTCCCTCCTAAGCCACGCCATTGTCACTTAGCACTAACACATATATTATATATTACATTTCAAGGTACCCTCAAGGCTTACTACCGTAAAGTGTTTCGTGAATTTTAATCATTGCCGCCATTTAAAGAAAGGGTTTTTTTTTTTTTTTTTTTTGGTTTTTTTTTTTTTTTTTTTTTTGTCCATTCAAGCCCTAAGCAGCGGTCTATTCGGTAAAATAATGTGTTTCGATAACTGTTAACTTGGCTAGACTTATATAATTTTTTTTTTTTTTTTTTTTGTCATTAAGCTAACAGCGGTCTATTCGGTAAAATTAATTGTTTCGATAACTGTTAATTGCTAGAATTATATAAAATTATATAAACGCTAAACTTATATAAACGTTACCTTAATTGCTAGAAACTAGTTTAAACGTTGTGTTATCAAACAATGTCAAACAATGTAGCAAATAGACTTTGAAGTTTTCACTAAAAGTTATTTAAAAAACTATTATCGAACATAGCCCAAATCCTCTTTTCCTCTAAAAATTTATATTAACACAATATTAATTGTTTTCAATTTATCATCGTGTTTTATTATTTTCACTAAATTAGTCACTGGATTTCTCTCTCTTTATCACCTCTTCCTCTCAATTAAAGACATTTAGTGCTTTAATTAAAAACCAAAAATAATTAAAATTACAACTATTTTTTTCCTAAAATTGAGACTGTTTAATGATGTGTAATTATAATAATAGACACTTGAAAGTGAAAGAAGAGAGTATATGCATAATAAATTGCAAGTCCAGTAATGAATAACTAAAACTAAATAGCCAATTGCATGCGTCTTATTATACCAAAAACCCTAATCATGAAAATTAGCTTAATTAATATGAAAACAAATGGATTACGTCTTTCCAATTTAACAATTGCTATTGATCGTGATGCCTCTCCAAACAATAAAATTTTCTAAATGTTAGTAATTAGGCTTCTCTACTCAAACCCCACCTCTAAAGATTGTTCCAAATGACTAATAATTTTGAAACTATTACTATATGCTTTATGCTTTGTCTAATTACATAATTAAACATCATATCATTTTCACCTATATAAAAATGATAACCAATTGCTAAATTTCACATCAACCACTACCTCCACCATGAAGTTTCATGCCAGTGAGCTTTCAAGTGGAAAAAACACCCCAAAAAGGCTGTTCTTGCTAGCTCTTAGTCTAACCCTAATTTTCTTCATCATATTCCCTCTATGTCAATTAAAGAATTCGCGATCGCCTCTACCGTCTCCTAATCTTCATGTAAGTGATCTTGGAAGCAGAGAAAGAGTTAAGGAATGTGATATTTTTACAGGAAAATGGGTGCCTTATTCCAAAGGGCCTTATTACACTAATGCAACTTGCAATTTGATGATTGACCAACAAAATTGCATGAAATTTGGAAGACCTGATACAGAGTTCATGAAATGGAGATGGAGACCAGATGGATGTGAGCTCCCTTTGTTTAATGCAAAGCAGTTCTTGGAGCTTGTTAGAGGGAAATCAATGGCCTTTCTTGGAGACTCTGTGGGAAGAAATCAAATGCAATCACTATTGTGTCTCCTAGCCAGTGTAAGCTCTTAATTAATAATTTCCATTAAAATTACTTAGCATGCTCAAGCATAATAATTATAAATCATTAGTAAGATAAGGTAAAAATTAAATTAATCTTTTTCTGCTAAGACTCTTATCTGCTTTTACATCGTTTAGGTGACCCATCCTGAGGATGTTTCTCATGTTTATACATCAGACACGACATATTTCAAGTACTGGTTCTATGCTGATTACGGATTTACCTTAGCAACATTATGGTCTCCATTCTTGGTAAAATCTTATGATGCAGACCCAGATGGGCATTCCTTAAACAGCATCATGAGCCTTTATTTAGACCAAGCTGATGATGCATGGGCGACTCAGGTCGAAAGTTTCGATTATGTAATCATCTCTGCCGGACAATGGTTCTTTCGTCCGCTAATATACAACATAAAGAATCAAATTGTTGGCTGTCACAACTGCAATAACCAAAACATCACTGCTCTTTCAAAGTACTATGGATACCGAATGGCTTTTCGAACTGTGTTTAAGACGCTTCTAAAGCTAAAAGGATACAAGGGGATGACAATTTTGAGAACATTTTCGCCTTCACACTTCGAGAATGGGGAGTGGAATGCAGGAGGCAATTGTGGGAGGATAAAACCCTTTACGAGTGAAGAAATGAGGCTAGATGGATATAACTTAGAGTTCTATTTGACACAGGTTGAAGAACTAAGGAAAGCAGAGAAACAGGGGAGAAAAAAGGGTTTAAGTTTCAGGTTGCTTGCAACTACTGAAGCAATGTTGCTAAGGCCGGATGGGCATCCGAACCATTACGGGCAATCATTGCGCACTCGTCGGAATGTGACCATAGCTGACTGCGTTCATTGGTGCTTGCCGGGCCCTATCGACACTTGGAATGAGTTTCTGCTCTACATGATGAAAAGGGAAGGTCATACATCTTTTCTTGAGAAGCTGCAGAAAACTACTGCTTAATGTTTATAAGGATATATAGCAGTAAATACATTGTTACAAATATGTTATTGCCAATACTATTTGAGAGTATTCTTTATACTGTAACGATTTGCTATTTTTATATGTAAATTAAAAGGTGAGAGATTTTCAGATATCTCTCAAATTTTCCTCACTGCCTAAATTGGCGTTTCAGTAGTCAACAAGAGGCTTTGCCCTTTAGTAAGGACCCTCACCCCCCAAAAGTTTAAATAACCTACCCAATAAATTCATCGTGAAAATCAAAGAGACAAGCCAAAATCACATTATTAAAAGGCCTTTCAAGAACTTTGAACGCAACCCTTCCTCTTCCCGCCCTATAACATGGTTCCCTTTCCAATTCGATAACCATTATCTCACTTAACCTGTTGAATCTTTCTCCATCATCAACCATGGGAAGAAACCAGTCCTGCAAGAAAAAGGGACCTACTGTTCCATTTCTCTTCCCAAAAGCCAATTCTACTGTCCTCCCTGACCCTTCTCACTTCTTTTCCCCTTCTCTTCTCTCCTCTCCATTACCAACAAATTCTTTCTTTCAAAATTTTAGTCTGAAAAATGGTGATCAACCAGAATACATTCACCCCTATCTAATCAAAGCTTCAAATTCTAAGCTTCCCATTTGCTACCCATCTCAGTCTCACAATTCCTCTTGCATATCTCAGAAATTTGTCTCTGATATCACAATTTCTGCATTACGTAATTCACTTGGTCCCCATGTCATCTCCTCTTTTAGTGATCTTAGTGTCACTTTAGATATATTAAATTTTCTTTCTTGTTCGAGGAAGCCCTTTTTTGTTACTTCTTCTGTGCCTATCAAGACTCCAATCAAAATAGCCACGAAGCATCTCATATCCTCATTCTCAAGAAATAGTTTACTCACAAAGCAAACACTTAACCTGACCAACAATCAAACATGGCTTATATATTCGTCTTTGCCAATAAGCTTGAGTGAAATCTATTATTCGATCATTTCATATGGGTTTCTGGGTATTATAAGGATTGTTATTTTGTCAGATATACATTCAGATTATGAAGCAATTCTTGATCGTTACAATTCTTGTTATCCAGTATCCGGGGAGGTAAATTTCACCAGACCATTTTGTATAGAGTACAAATGGGAAATGAAAGGGCATGGGGAGTTACTTATGCTTGCACATCCTTTGCATACTAGGATTCTATCTAGTGATAATTCTGCTATTAGTGTACTTGACAGTATTGATTGTGATCTTGTTGGGGTTGTTGGAGATTTATGGTTATTGAAAGCTGACCGTATTCCAGTTACGTGGCATTCAATAAAAGGTCTCAAAGAGGAATCTGTTGCTGAAATTGTCTCTCCGCTTCATAAGGATGTTGAGGATTTAAATTCATCGTCTATGAACACTGCAACATGCCCTTACTTTTATTGTAAAATGATTGCAAGGGCAGCAAGGTTGGCTTTGATAGCAGAGGAAGTGGGTTCTGTTGATCTTATACCTTGCATTACTACATTCTTGAAGAAAAAGATTCAGCCATGGTTAGAGGACACTTTTCAAGGAAATGGTTTTGTCTGTGAGGATAAATGGTGTGGTATAGTTTCTAAACAAGGGTTAACCAACTCCAGTATCGAGTTTGGATTTGGAATTTAAAGTAATCACCACTACTATCTGGGTTACTTCTTGTATGCTTTAGCAGTGCTGGTGAAAAATGATCAAGCATGGAGGAAGAAATATAGGCCGGAAGCTTATTCTTTATCGGCTGATTATATGAACCTGAAGACGGGATCAGAATCTAAATATGCATGTTTAAGGTGTTTTGATCTACATAAATTGCATTCATGGGCAGGAGGGCTGACTGAATTTGCTGACGGCTGCCACCATGAGAATACAGGTGAGGGAGTGAATGCATTCTATTCAGTAGCATTAATGGGTTTAGCATATGGAGACAATCATCTTGCTGTTGTTTGGTCTACGCTCACAGCAATGGAGATTCTTGCAGCATAAACATGGTGGCATGTGAAAGAGGGTAATTATATATATGTAAAAAGATTTCTGCAGAAATAACAGGATGGTGGCTGTCCTGTTCTCTAATATGAGGGACAGCAGACTCTGGTTTGCACCAGCTAAGGCGAAAGAGTGTCGAGTAGGAATTCAGGTGTTGCCTTCGGTGCCTATAACTGAGGTTTTGTTCTCTGATGTTGGTTTTGTGAAAGAACTTCTGAACTGGACATTACCAGCCCTGAAAAGGGAAGAAGTTAAAGATCAGTGGAAAGTATTTGTCTATGCCTTAGAAGGAATTTATGATAAAGAAATGGCTTTGAAGAAGATAAGAGAGTTGAAAGATTATGGTGATTATAACTCACTGACTAATATGTTATGGTGGACTCATAGTCGAGATAATGAAGAAGAAGATAATCAAGGAAGAGGAGGAGGAGGTGACGAGAGTGAGAACATCTGCTGGTTCTGTCAATACTGTTGCACTTTTTTGCTTGCAATTATTGGCTCAGATAAGAGTAATACTGGTTTTTAGGTTTAAAATTACGAAGTTGCGACTGCATTTGGACCAAAGTTGTTTTAATTATTTTCTACAATATTCCAAAACCAGGGGAAGGAACAGGGGAGCTTTTATTATCAAGTTTTATATTAGAATTATGAAATATTATTATAGTCTAACAAAAATTCAATAGGAATTGATTTCAGCAAGACAAACATGAAATATGGACAGCAACTAATGTATTCTGATGCACTCTTTAGTGATTTATTTGCTATCTGTCCCCTGCATGTTTTACAGTTTGCAGAACCATAATGTAGGAAAAGCATGATAAACAGGACATAATTCAAAACACATAAGAATTTGTTTCTATGTACAAAATATGAAATTAACTTCTAAAATAATGTAGATTATACATCTCAAGTTCAGACAGAGAGAAAATATAAACTTAGGATAAGAAGTCAACAAAGACAATATATGCATGCTGGTTAGAATGAAAGTTTAATAAAGACCAAGATGTGCAAAAACAAAATGTAGAGCACAAAGGCCGATCTTAGTAGCATAAGCCTATGCTGTTGCGCTGTTCGATCACTACCTGAATAAGGAGGCTTGTCAGTAATATATTCTAAAGAAGAAGAAGAAGAAGAAGATCCTCTATCTGAATTGTTTCTTCCAAATCGATTCCTAGCAATATTTGCTTCTATATTGCTGCTTTCAAGCTGCCTCCACATTCCATTTAATCTTTCTAATACCATCTCTTTCAAATGGATCTCAGTGACCAGGCCTTCCGCTTGTGCCTACAAACAAGAAGACAATCTTAACAGATCTGTTTTACTTCCTCAAAAAATCCAAAAAACATGATACCAAGTAGGAAGAAAATTATAAAGCCACGAGAAATTGTTAAACTGACCTGTTTTGCTGCTAGTTGCTCAATTAAGCTATGGAGCTGTTTATCCAATATCTTTTCTCTCTGAGCTGCACAACAGAAATTGTTTAAATCAAACGCCCTACTATAATTTACTATGAAGTTTTCTCATCATAAATTTAATTATTGAAATTATTGAACTGGTAGTGTCTCAGGGAATGGTCATTTAATGACCCAAACAACAAATCTCCAGGGATGATAAAATCATAATTCTAAGTAAGCTCAAAGCCTTCACAGTAGATACTTTCTCAACTGTGATCTTTTACCAAAAAGGATTTCAACAAAAACCATAACAAAAGAAATACTTAGGTACTTTCTTCTGCTAGTGAGTGAAAATTTAACCCTTGCATCAAAAACCCTTTGGGAAGTTCTAAATGAGGCAAAAAGGTGCAAACTAGAGGCCTAATCCTGGGGTCCCCACCTCTGTGAGCACTGGGCATGTGAGTAGGCACGTGTGTTCTTGTGTACACATCTACAAAAAATTCTAATAATTGGATGAATGAAGGAATACCTGGCGTGGGCTGCTTCAGTGCACTCTCCTGAATTTGAGCCCATTTTTTCTCTAGACCTTGAATAATTTCTTCCATTGAACCCTGAAGGATAAGGCAAATTTCATCATCAACAACCACAATAATCCAGCGGAGGAGAAAATCTATAAGGAACAGAGAAGAAGGCAAAATGTACTAGCTCTTTCTTCTTGCTCTCCAACTTCTCCAACAAAGTGGACTTTGTAGCTTCTGTGTCTAATCCAGATTCAGCTTCTGTTTCAGATGCAACTGATTCACCAGAGTTTCCAGATGGACTAGTTTCTAGCGCAGTTTTCACATTTTCCAGCTCCTGTCTCAAATTTTTTTCTGTCTCATCCATTTCCTAACATTAATAATACAAATAAAAATTTAAAAAGTTGGTAAATATAAGGAAATCAAAGTCAGCTTGTACATCAAATAAAACTTCATGATTACGAGAATCATCAAATAGAATTCTTTTGTTCCCAACAAAAAAAAAAAAAATGGAATCTTTTGCATGGAAAATTGGAAATATGATACATTGAATGAATAAGGTAGTTATTAGAGCAGCCAATAGACATGCCCTGGAAGTTAAGCCCCAACCTGTAACCTTCGCTGAAGTAAATCTGCCTCCTGGATTTTCTCCTGTATTTTATTTTCACAATTCGATATAGCCTTTTCATATGCAACATTTTCTTCCTGCAAAGTCACCTCTCTCAATTGGGCCTGATCATAACAATAAGTGAAAAATATTAATTGGTGAAAAGGATGATCACCAATTGAAAAATGGATTTGATCAGCCTTCAAAATTCATCAACACGGTAACACATTCAGTGACATAAACCTATCTTGAGCAATCCAAGTACCCAATGGTGCATAACAATTCAAGGCCACATTATAGCACTACCATTAAAAAGGAAATATTTAGCTCAATAATTTGCTTCCTCTAAAAATTTAAAGTGTTTGGATATTAGCATTAATATTAGTATTAGGAACATATAAACTGTTTTTGCAGAAATCCAATGAGTGGCACGCGTGAAATCCAGCAAATTCCTCTCAGGTATTAGCATAACAGTTCATACAGAAAAGACCATTTGTCATACCACAAGAACAAATGTCTACATCATTTCCACATGATATCTTCCACAATTCAAAGAGACCAAGCTATACATCTCCTCAAGATGAAATCCATTCACCACCAATGCCACATTTCTCAAAAGTAATAACAATTAAACTTATTTCAAAGAGATTCATAAGCAATAAGATTCTACTGAAATGCATGACTTTCGATTTGCAAAAGTGAAATGCAAAACTTATACCCTTGGGCAATTATTCAGTTGAACTTTGTGCATCAAAATTACTATATGTCAAGCAAGATGCAATTTTAACCTAATCAAAATTTACTCGAACTGAACTTTAGGAGTATTGCAATTCCAGCTTAGTCTCTGTTTGTACATTAACACTCCTGCAACTGAAATAATAGAGTGGCATAAAAAATTTTCATTTTCCTCCATATCACGCCAAATAATTTACAGGTATTAAAAGCTCAATTTCTCCAGTACCACAAAATAGTAAGCATAGCTCTTGAATTAGCGGAGTAAATGGATGAACAATCACTTTTCCATGAAGCTACACGGATTAAATATGCATTTTCAATAACTAAAATAGTAAATGCTCATTAATAAATCTTAAATATACTCATAATTATAATAATCGGACAAGAAACAATAATAATTAAAACCCAGATCAGAAAACGTTTCATTTTAAGAGCTTTGTACCATATAAATTCAAAAACATCAACTATCTACATGTAAAACCAAAGAGAACCATGAGATAAAACACAAACAACTAAGGAACAAACTTTGCCAATATACACGCCAAATAAAACTCCAAGAAGAACCCAGATATTAAACAAGCAAATTTATCACAAAAAAAAAATGGGAGAATTACTTGTTCCCTAGTGGCAGAGTGAGCATTCAACTGCAGAGCAAGAGCAGCATTAGAAGCTAGGGAATGCGCAAGAAGGTGAGGGAGGCGTTGTGAGATATCGGGTGGAGGCAATCTGAGCCGTAGATCTTGGATTGTGCGGCTCAAAGAAGCCGCCTTTCGATCTAATTCTCGCACATAGTTTTGTTGCTCTTCGCTAAAAATTATTGGAATGGCATCGTCTGCTTCACTAGTTTGGCCACCGCCGTGACCTCCGACTACATCGGCTGCCCATGCCAGTAAACCCGCCATTCTCTCTCGAAATTACTGCGAGAAACTGGGAAATCTGCAGACTGCAAATATGGTTTTGTTTTAACCCCTAAAAGACCCAAAGTTAAGGACGAAGAGACTTTTTCCCTGTTGTAGTGAGAAGGAAAGTTTTCCCTCGTGGTAGTTCCAATAACCGCAAAAGGAGCAAATGACATTTTAGCCATGTTTCTTCAGTTTTTTTCTGGGCCTGTTTATGAGGGTCCATTGGGCTTCGTTTCACAGTACGATAAGCGATTGTGTGCTATTTACGTGGGCCCAATTATAAATAAATTTGCTTTGTTTTTTCTTTCATGATGTCATTAATCCCATTGCCATATTTCCATAAAACTAGTACTAGTATTATAATTTTTTTTTTTAGTTTAATAATTTCAAAATTTTATTAATTTTATGAAAAATGCATGTATAATAGTTTGTTATTTTATTTTCTTAACTTGTGGTAGAAATAAAGAAATTATAAAATTATATATAAGTAATGTATTCCAGACTGTATTAGAAAGTACTTCGTAAATATTAATAATATTTTTAAATATATAAATTAATATGAGAAAGTACATTATCAACGTGGTCTAGAAAATGGGTTTACATAAAAATTGATTCATAAATACTTCTCGATTGAAAGTAAATTCTAAATAAATCACTTGCTTTATCACGAGCGGCCTTATTTGCTCATCTATGAACTCAAGACACAACAAAGTAACATTAGCATTTTCTAATAAAATCTTACAATCATCCACAGAAAACCAAACACAGACAATTCATTAAATCTTGTATTAATAAATCAACATTATAAGAGATTTAATGAGTTGAAATAATATTATAAACTACACAATAGAGGCAGTCTTCCCATTGACTCACCAAATAGGTGAAAATTTTTATAGTCAGAAGAATTTGAATTTGAGACCTCTAATTTTGAGAAGACTAATCAAAATACACCCGATTGATAATAAATTAAATAATTTTTTAAAAAACCAATAATCAAATTTGTATTGGCTAACAATTGACAATACATATCACACACACTATCTATTATCATTTCCTTCTGAACATATCAAACGCGGGATTGACGCTTGGTACAAATATTATTAAGTAACAAGACAAGCTGAGTTCACATCATTGCTTCTAGCAAAAGAAACTTCCTCGTAGCATGGCACAAAATTTAACTTAGTAGAGTCTTTATTCCACTATCTACTTCTAAGTTTCGACTTATAAGGTAATTTTCAATGTGTAAGTTAATTTTAAAATAAGCAACAAAGTGTTTCAAAAAAATTGTTTAAAAATTACTTTACACTAAGCATAAATATTTGGGAGTAACTTGATATATTAAAATAATAAAAAAGGGTGCATCATTTAAATAGAAGGTCTAATAGTTTATTTAAATAACATTAACATTTAACAATAGAAGTATGATAACTCTCCGCTTATTTTAAACTACTAAAATTTTAATAATTATATTCGTTCAAAATCCATTTATTCTTTTTTACATGCTCGTTTTAAAATCCATTTGTTAATTTCAATTGTTGTATATGTTCCAAACTTATTTAACTAATATCCAAAATTACTTCGAAGTTTTCTTTTCTTTTACATGCAATAAAACATTATTATATTTTTAATTTAAAAATAAATTTTTTTATATTTTAATTTAAGAAAAATTTTGATTCACTTGAAAACCAAACAAGATAAACTCTAAATTGGATAATTTAATCAAAACTTGCAAAAAGAAAAAGAACACCTTCAACTAACTTCTTCAATTTTGTTGCTGTCTTTCTTCTCAAAGTATATTCAAAACCCCACATTCTTACCCTTTCCTTCACACTTTTGGATTGAATTTTAGTATCTTGCAATTCACTTACCTTAAAACTCTTAAAACTTCAAAATCCCCACAACTTCACTTCCAATCCAATCTTTCCTTCTTTTTCCTCTTCCTCTTCTCAATTTATTCAACCAAACCTCAAAATCCAAACAAACACAGTTTCTCTATATGCTGCTCCAAGTTTGGTAAAAAAAAAAACTCAACAAACAAATAGAAACAGAAACTAACAAGTCAAATCCCTCCATTTCCTCCCTTGTTCCTCTCTCTACCAAATCTCAAATCCCAACTAATAATTTATCTCCTCTGATCTAATTTGGCAACTTAATTAAATTAATAAATCAAATAAAAATGCTGAAAAAACTAAGGAGGAGAGTCAAAACCTTAGTCACTAAGTCCTTCAAAAAACCTCGCAAACATTCATCTTATAAAGACCCTTCTCCTCCAAGTTCTTCTCCATCACCAACACCACCAGCATCACCGCCACCATCAACAATGACTCACCAATCTTCCCTTGATCAAAAGCCACCAACTTTTCCATTTCGTTTCCCCAGCATTCAATCCTCAGTCCTTCCCGATCCTTCTCTCTTCTTTTCACCTTCTCTTCTGTCGTCTCCATTGCCTACAAATTCTTTCTTTCAGAACTTTACCCTTAAAAATGGCGACCAACCTGAATATATTCACCCATATCTAATCAAATCCTCTGATTCTTCCCTTTCTATCTCCTACCCATCTCTTTTTCATAATTCTTCTTTCACGTACCAGATTTTTGTCCCTGATTTCACCATTTCTGCTTCAAACAAACCCTCCACAGGTCAGAAAAACCATATTATATCTTCTTACAGTGATCTTAGTGTCACTTTGGATATGCCCTCTTCAAATTTTCGCTTTTTTCTTGTTAGGGGAAGTCCCTTTTTAACTTGTTCGATTACAGGCAATACTGCAATTTCTATATCAACCATCCATGCGATTCTTTCGTTTTCCTCAAATAATTCTCTCACTAAATATACCGTTAAGCTTAATAATGGCCAAACATGGCTTATTTACTCATCTTCTCAGATTAACTTGAGTCATAGCCTTTCTTTAATTACTTCTGATGGGTTTTCTGGGATTTTAAGGATTGCAATATTGCCTGATTTTGACCCAAAATATGAAGCGATTCTTGATCGGTTTAGTTCTTGCTATCCGGTATCAGGTAATGCAGTTTTTACCAAACCATTTAGTTTAGAGTACAAATGGGAAAAGAAAGGCTGGGGTGATTTGCTTATGCTTGCTCATCCTTTACATGTCAAGCTTTTATCTGATGAAAATGTTATTGTTTTAAATGATTTGAAGTATAAAAGTATTGATGGTGATCTTGTTGGTGTTGTTGGAGATTCTTGGGTGTTAAAATCGGACCCAATTTCAATAACTTGGCATTCAATTAAGGGTATCAAAGAGGAATCATGTGTTGAAATCGTGGCTGCACTTTGTAAGGATGTTGAGGGTTTAGATTCATCAGCTATAACAACAAATTCATCTTATTTTTATGGTAAATTGATTGCTAGAGCGGCGAGGTTGGCTTTGATAGCAGAGGAGGTTGGTTGTCTTGATGTGATTCCACTGATAAGAAAGTACTTGAAAGAAACAATTGAGCCTTGGTTGGAGGGTACTTTTAATGGCAATGGTTTTTTATATGATGACAAATGGGGTGGAATTGTTACAAAACAAGGGTCAAGTGATTCAGGTGCGGATTTTGGATTTGGAGTTTATAATGATCACCATTATCATATAGGATACTTTCTTTATGGAATAGCTGTTCTTGCAAAGATTGATCCTTTTTGGGGTAGGAAGTATAGGCGACAAGCTTATTCACTTATGGCTGATTTTATGAACTTGGGCAGACGGTCAAATTCAAATTATCCACGTCTGAGATGTTTTGATTTGTATAAATTGCATTCTTGGGCTGGAGGGCTAACTGAGTTTGCTGACGGCCGGAATCAGGAGAGTACAAGTGAGGCAGTGAATGCATACTATTCAGCAGCTTTGATGGGTTTGGCCTATGGAGACACTCATCTTGTTGCCACTGGATCAATGCTTGCTGCAATGGAGATTCATGCAGCACAAACTTGGTGGCATGTTAGGGAGGGTGATAATTTGTATGCAGAAGATTTTACTAGAGAGAATAGAGTAGTAGGTGTTTTGTGGTCTAACAAGAGGGATAGCGGGCTTTGGTTTGCACCCCCTGATTGGAAAGAGTGTAGGCTTGGAATTCAGCTATTACCATTGTTACCTATATCCGAGGTTTTATTCTCTGATGTGGGATTTGTAAGGGAGCTTGTGAACTGGACACTACCGGCTTTGGAACGAGAAGGAGTAGCTGAAGGGTGGAAAGGATTTGTATATGCATTAGAAGCAATCTACGATAAAGAACGTGCTTTGGAGAAGATTAGAAACTTGAATAGTCACGATGATGGTAACTCGCTTACTAATCTTTTATGGTGGATTTACAGCAGAGGCAATGAAGAGGAAGAATGGTGTGAGGGAGGAGGGAAATTCTGTTGGTTTGGTCACTACTGTCATTGAAGTTGTTTCCTCATCGCAGTCTAGACAGGTTTGATTTAAGAAACGAAATAAAAAATATTACGGTTGCAATTTGGTTATTTATGATTGTTTCTTTGCTATGACTTTGTATGTTCAATTTGTTGTGAATTTGTGTACAAATATTCAGATAAGAAAGGAAGATTTGACATTTTATGAGCCTCATTGTTTATGTTACAAATCAATTTAATAAAAATATTGTGCTTCTTAAGAGCAGAGACCCCGATCTTAGAGCCTTCTACCAGCCAGCCGAGGCCACTGCGATATTGCAGAGCCTTACTGCTATATGTCCAAAAGGCCTCGCGATGTTCTAAGTTTTAAACTATATATTCAACTTAAGACTTTTCCACCTCACAATTGTTAGTTGTTAGTTGCTAATGTGTGTGACTGCTTTTTGATAATTATTGTTCTGCTCATTTTTATTTAGAACGTAGAACTTGTTTCTTAGACAAAATGATTCACCCAGGTTAGTTGTAAGTAGTAGATACTGTCAGGAAAATACCATTTCAATCTGCATATATAACAGTACAGCAATTGGGCAAATGACATAAAACGACAGTCGTTTATCTTGTTAACAATGTTATTCATAGACAAAAATTGAAACGTCAGGTCGTTTATTTTCCAACGCTTGATCACACTCTGTCAAGCAGATGACTTGCACCTTTAATATTTCGTTCCCTTTAGTTCTAGAGTAAAATACAAATTAATTGCTAAAATTAAAATCAATCTTTGCTTTAGAATGCCAAATCGCACTTGGCTTGTTTGCTAATAATCCCTAAAAAAATCATTGAAATTGCATATGGGTTAATCACTTAGTTTTCTATTATATCTTTTTATTATGTACATGGATGTCTAGTGTTGAAATTAACAGAAGTTTGTCTGCTAGGACTGTATTGGGAGCATTCGCCTCCTATCGATCCTGTCAAGGTTTCATGACAAATAAACGCGATTCGAATCCGCATTCGCAATATTGAAGACAGGGTTAAGACCCTTGAGTGGGAAAGAGATGCCCTCTTTGTGAGGATCAACGGTCTTGGCGACCATGCATAATAGAAGAGTCATGAGGCAGTTTTTATCAATATATATGGTTGTGGATCATCAATAATGATTTTTCTTTAGAGTCCAGATACTTTTTTTTAGGAAAATAGATTTTCAGAAAAGGAATTCCAGAAATGCTGAAATTTTTAGGTTTGGTTATATATATATACATATATATATATATCGGGTGCACAAGGAAAGCAATGCTCAAAGAAAGAAATTAAATACACATAAGAGGTGCCACAAATGTGATGGAGGAGCCAATGGAGAATCCTAGGAGGAGGTTCATCCAAAAAATGAGTACCCAACGCTACAGAAACCAGCGCATGAGTATTTTTTTAAAAAAGATCATAATACATTTTTTTAAAACATATGACAATTATTTTTAATGAATTTATGAGAAATATATAAATTACAATAATACATTTAATTTATGTGTATAATAATATTTTGTATTATTTGACCAAAATTAGTGAATGAAATATTTTTATAATTAAGGATAACAATGTCCTTAAACTTTTATTTTATATAACATAATTTTCTCATCTTTTTTTAGACCGGAAATATATTACAAATGTGATTTGAGATTTTGAGTTTTCAGCTAGTTTTCCCTAAATAGTTGAATTCTTGCAAAATCAAACTGCAATTGTTTAGATTTATGATTCCAAAGAACTCCAAATTGTGTAGATGTATGATTTGTTTAGATTTATGGTTATGAAGCTTACTGCATATTATAATTAGTTTTTATTGCTTAAAATTTAAAAAGAAAATGTCTCCGAAGTTGAAATTGAAAATTTCCTCAAATCCTCAAAGTTTGGTATTGGGGACCATATTCTTATCTCAATAGATAGCAAAGTGAGACGTGCTTGTCAAAATTAGAACTTGTGCTTTTTCTCTGTCAAATATGTGAATGGGTGTAGGTTTCAATTTTCATGGATACTGTATAACTGTATGTATTTTATTGTCGATTATTAATTTACTAATCAATCTCAAATTAAAGTCAAAAGAGCCAAAAGTTATTTTTATAGAAAAATTTTCAGATAAAAAATTTCAAGCATGAAATTATGATAAAGAGTTCACTAATTATGCATGCATGGGTGAATCTAAATTAAGCAAAGAGTAATTAGAATTAGTAATATTAAAATCTAAAAATGTAATTAATTAATTCGCACTTTTATTTTATATAACAATGTCCTTAAACTTTTATTTTATATAACAAGTAAAGTACCTCTAACATATATATGGGAAAGTATTTACAGTATTTGTAAATCAAAAAATCCAACTTTCCCTGAAATATAATAAATTCTTGAAAAAGACTAATAAATATACATATTTATAATATATATAAAAATATGAATAAAAATTTTAAAATGACTTATATTTCGGATCAGATGAAATATCAAAGTATAATTATACATTGGATAGCATGAAACTGAAAATCCAACCAAAGTCAGTGATTCAAATACAAAATTATAGGGCAAAATGATGTTGAAAAGGGGAAAAAAGGAAAGAAAAATTCAGGATCTCATTACATACATCTGATCTGACCCACCAATATGTGAAGCTGATTCCATCTGGCAAATCAGAAATCATTTTATGATTAGGTAAGAGGTTATTATGTCATATTTTGTATTATAATAATGACTTATTACCACGTGCCATTGCAATGCAACGAAAGAGATGCAATATGCAGAGAAAAAAATAACTACTAATTGATTGGGTTTAACGTAACTGATACAAATATATTTTTTACTTTTTAACTATATGTAAAAAAAATTTTGAATTATAAAAATTACGATATTCTGAAATAATTTATCATTATATGGGGTCAGTTTTTTCACCAATTTTTTATAAGCTGAAAGGATATTATTCATTGTTATGTAACTTGAAATATTATTTTAGTTTTTTTGAAAAGAATGTTATTTAATAGGAAGAAGAAGAACATTCAACCAACTTGGCAGTTGAAGACTTTCTGGCAGTGAGAATGAGATCTGGCAATTAATAACACTTTTATGTATATAATAATAAAAATTAAAAGGAAAAAGAAAATTACATAATTATAAATGTTAATTTATATTTGGGAGCTGACTTTGTTCAATTATAAAATCCTACTGTTGCTTTACTTGCTCTTTGTATGTGAAGATGCACAGGAGGATCAATTATTCCAATGCCACTCTCTAATTACATGTGCAATCTCTTCTCATCTTCTTTATTTTTACTTTTTTTTTTCTTTTTCTCTTTTCTCATTCAAATCCTTTTTTCCCCCTTTGGAAAAGAAAATTGCTCGACGAATCACTCTTATATGGATTCTACAATACTCGAGCTAGAATCCAAGCTGTCGGTGATTATAGACTGCAAAAAGCTTTACCAACAATTGGATTACAATTTTTACCGGATAAGTATAATTGACTTACTGAAATGATTAAGAAGACCAACGAAAACCACAAACATAATGAAATTTTAAACAACGATGAATTAGGAAGAATGACCAAAAGCAAAAAGCAAAAAGCAAAAAGCAAAAAATGACTTTCTCAAAAAAAGAAAAGATAAATTACAAGGAATAAATTTGTTAATTCTTGATAACATAATAACGTTATCGTAACTTCATATTCGAATTCCTTCCAATAATTTTAGCAGGTGGCAATATTTGATATGTGGATCTTTTAATATATTTTTTTTAAATTTCAAATATAAACCTTCCAAATTTGCTAGAGTGGAAGTTTAGAAAGAAAATAAATATGCATTGACACTGAGATGAAACAGTTGGACTGACAAATTCCTTAAATTAATGCAACAATTTTCACCTCTAAATAAAATTAAAAAAAATACAAAATCTTAGTTAAATTTTACAAAAATTTATTGAAATTCAAAAGAATATTCTTATTTGACATATTTTAGCATGAAATTTGTAAGTCAACTAAAAAATCAAAATCAAAGTAAACAAATAAACAAGAACAGCTAGATCGACATAGTGGATGGTACTCAGCTTCAGAACATGCTGTGAATGGATTTAGCAAAAACAAATTTCCTGTTTTCTGCTTTTCTTTCTCTCTCTCTACTGCACATGTGAAGTAAAGTTTACTCTCAAGTTGCCCCCACGTTTCTTTGCACATTTTGTGGGTGCACTTCCTCTCCCCATTTTCTTTGAAATTGGACAAGAAAAAAGCTTCCTTGGGAAAACCTACTGGAGTTTCCATCACTCCAACCTGTAAAAAAAAAGGCGAGATTTTAATCTCAAAAGAAAAAAAAGACTCTAATTTGGGAGAGAGAGGTAAGAAATTTTTGAACTTTAACTTCTGGGTTTTCTTTGTTCTCATTTTCGTAATCGGGTAATGCTGCATTTGTCTCCATTAACAGTTTAGAATTATATATGTGTATAAAGTTTGGATTTTGGTGGATAAGAATAGTAAAATGGTTAAGTTGATCTCTAATTTTTCAGCTTTATTTCGTCTGGGTTCTGTTTACTGAGAAACTTCTTTACGAAATGCTGCTTGATTTTTGTGAAATTGGGTTTTTAATCGAGCTTTGGCTAGTGATTGGAGGATCTGGGTTTCTGAAGCAGTAAAGGAGTTGCAGGAGGTTGGGCTTGTTTGGCTTTTTGAAAAAGGTTTCACATGTTTTCATTTCTTGAAGAATTTGCAGTGAAAAAGTAGAGATATGCTTGAGACACAAGTTCAGTAGATATATACTGTAGTAGAATTTGGTTTGTGGTGAGCAATTTTATTTTTTGCATGGGTTACTGATTTCTTTTGCTGCACAAAAATATGGCCTCAACAATATTACCTTCACCAGAGTCTTCTCCTTCTTTTGTTCCACCAATAATATCCCCCATTATTTCATCACCATCACCACCATCCCCTTCTTTGCCATCAAATTCTACACCCGCTCCTCCATCTCCTTCAACAAATTTGCCTCATCAGACTACTGATCCCCCAGTCCCTTCAACCCCATCCAACACTTCAGCTCCACCTCCTCAATCTCCCCCGCCTGCGGCCCCTCCCCCATCTCCACCATCTCCAACGACGCCATTGACACCACCACAATCTGCACCACCTCCATCACCCCCAGCATCCTCACCACCAGCCCCTCCAATATCACCAACTATTGACCCTCCCCCAGCTGTAAAGACTTCCCCACCCCCTCCAGATGCAAGCCCTCTACCACCAGCAACCACCTCCCCCTCTCCCCAATCCTCCCCAGCAACTCCTGTGGTATCTTCACCTCCCCCTCAACCTGTGGCCCCTTCCCCACCTTCTCCTGTCAATGTCCCTGCACCTCCTTCCATTGATTCACCACCTCCACCAGCAGTAAAGGCTCCCGAAAATTCCCCTATACCTCCAAATATTACTCCCCCACCATCTAGTTCTCAGTCTAGTAGGCCTCCACCTCTAGTAGATTCTCCTCCTCCTCCTACATCTGCATTGTCATCACCACCTCCTTCAGTCCCGTCAACCTCCTTGCCGCCTGGAATACCTCCTCCTGCTACTGTAGATAACTCATCAACGACGGGAACTTCTCCTTTATCGCCCTTACCCTCTATCCCTACAGAAAAACCAACTGCAAGAGCAACTAATGATGCCGATTTCCCTGGAAATGCAAAATCACCAGGTTCAGGCGGTTCAAATACTGGAGGTGCAGTGATAATAGGCATTGTGGTTGGGTTTGTAGTACTCAGTTTTGTTGTGATGGCTGTGTGGTTTGTACAAAAACGAAAGAGAAGGCATGATAAATCAAATATTGGATACACTATGCCTTCCCCATTTGCCTCCTCACAAAATTCAGGTAAAGTAATATCAATGCTCTATTGTTAGTAGGTTATACAACCATTCTTTAGTGCTTCTCTAATAATCTTCAACTAGTTATACTTTTTGTTAAAGCTCTAGTAGTTTATGATTGCTTGACTGACAAAGATCTATGCAAGATTTATGACCTTAAAAATTCTATGTTTAGGTGTATACAAAGAAGCCTGATGGTTAGTACATGACTTATTCTAAATCTCTATCATTTTGATCTATGTCTTTGAGACCTAGCTATTTCACATCTCAGATAAACTCTATATAGGCTAAGACAATTTACTGAATTTAGTAGAAGTGTACCTGGAAATTTATGTAAAACCTTTTGCTTAGCTTCATGAATACTGTTATGCTACTCCTTTCTGTTTGGGCAATATCCAATTTTAATTTCTGAATGGTGGCCACCTAATTTTGTGCCTGTTATAAATTTTCCTTTTGTGGAGCCTTAACATGAAACAGCTCATTTTGCTGGTTCAGATTCTGGCTTCAACATGCTTGGGAAAAATTTAGCTAGCAGAAGTGAACATAAATTTGGCATGAATTTTATTCTTACTTTCCTTTTTTAAAGTTGAGGTTCTGCCAACTATTCTTTTCAATTCTTTTTTCTACATCGATTTTGAGGTATTGATTTTATTTTTGTTGAATGACAGCCTATGCCTTCGATTTAGCTGGATAGTGAAATGATAGTGCAACTGCTGCTAAAATTAATGAAACCTGCGTTTACTGTGCAGAGGCATTATTTATAAGGCATCATTCTCATGGACCTTTGGGAGGAAGCCCTTCTGGAAGTGATTTCATCTATTCGCCTTCAGAACCTGGAGTAAACAATTCAAGGTCATGGTTCACATATGAGGAACTAGTCCAAGCCACCAATGGATTTTCAACAGAAAATCTTTTGGGTGAAGGTGGATTTGGTTGTGTATACAAAGGTATTCTGGTGGATGGTAGAGAAGTAGCTGTAAAACAATTGAAGATAGGTGGTTCTCAAGGAGAGCGTGAATTTAAAGCTGAGGTTGAGATCATTAGCCGAGTACATCATCGCCATTTAGTTTCATTGGTGGGTTACTGTATATCAGAGAATCAAAGATTGCTTGTTTATGACTATGTCCCAAACAATACTCTTCATTACCATCTCCATGGTAAGATGCCTTTCTGAGTTTAAATAGAAGAAAATCTTCAACTTGAATACTTCCATGGATGTAATGTCTTGATGCATATTGCTTGATAAATTTCATTATGGAGTACCACATGATGACATGCTATGTCTGCTTAAATGTAAGGTTGATTGGTCATGATGAATTTTTCACCGTGAATCTTCTTATGGCATTTAGATTTATTATTTCCTGCTAAGTTTCTTGATGAATGATGTGACTGGTCAGATATAGCATTAAGAACAGCAGTGAGCAGGTCAGGAGTGTGTGTGTTAAAGTTGTTGAGCTATGGGCTGTTTGCTAACGAGAGGCTGTCACACTTATCATGTTTTGGTTCTCTAAACAGGTAACCTTGGGAAGTTGTGATGACATAATGATAGTTTAAAGGATGAGTACTCCGATATTTTTAGATTATTAGGATTTGAGATCTTTCTTGGGTTTTTATGTATTGATGGCTATTTACTATTTTGTTTCTTTGAATCAATGTTAATAAAAATTGTTTCCTGTTAATTGTTGCTGCTGCTTCTTTCATCTTTCTGCATCCAAATTTTGGTAATGAAGCAAGTTCTTGAGCTTGGGAGGAATTGCTATGCCAGTTTCAGGGTGAGCACACCTATGCCAGAGACAAAAAGATGACCTTTCACTGGATTTGAGAGGAGTTTCTGTGAAATAAGCAACAGTGTGGTGTTTGTATGCCAAGTTAAATTTGGCAATTGTGGCGCAAACCTAGTTTGGAGTACTTAGAAAACATTGGATCTATGCCATAAAGAACTTTATTGATTCTATTTGTGGAAGTAGATGTACAATTTTTATGATGGTTCCACAGATTGGATTCTTCAGCCGTGTTTGAAGTGTAATATAGTTTGAAGATTTAACAGACACACTAGCACGTTTTTAGGCAAGAAGAAATAGTGGGATGCTCACTGTCAATAAGTTTAAGAAAGGACATAAAAAGTGTCATTCTAGGCTTAGATGAGGAACTAACTCTTCTGGATCTTAATTATTTGTGTTCAACTATTTTTCAGAGGCAGTAAATTCAGCAAAATCAATTGTTCAACCACTATAATGTTTCTTTTGTTGATAGGTTTGTAGAGGTAATGATGATAATATGTCCCCTTTGATTTCCATGATATTGAATGGAGAAGTATTTTTGTTTATGATAATGAAGAAGCGAGAATATCCACATGAGAATGCAACAGTAAAGTAGAAGATGCAGTGATTCAAGGAAAAAATAATCTAATGTTGGATACCAAGTTGTGGTTTTTCTACCAAGAGGTAGAACTTCCTTTAGCATGTATCGCATACTGTGATGAAGAGTTAGGCATTGCGTCTGTTATTTAGTGTTCTGATAAGAATCAGTTCCTTTATTACTGGGTGGTGTTTAAGCAAGTTATTTATTGTAATGGGTAGTTATTCGTGGGTAGCGGGTAATTAATAGTCTCTACCTCTGCATTCAGTTGTTTAAAAGGCTGTGGAATGATGAAAGATGTAAGCAGAATTAACAAAGGTTTGAGTTCCTAAAACCTAGAGATTATAGAGTTCTCTCAAATGAGCTCTAAAAGATCGTAGGTTTCTCTCTTAATTCTATCTTTAAATCCAACCAAATATACCCATGACTAGATCCAAACTTGGGACCATATCCGCATCCTTCTTGGATGGCATTATTAGGGGTGTAAATGACCCGAGCTGGCTCGTAAGCTGTTCAAGATCGACTCGAAAAAAGTTCGGCTCGAATTGGAATCAAGCTCGAGCCTGACAATGTTCAGCTCGAAAGCTCGTCGAGCCTTATCGAACTTTTATATATACATATATTTACTGTTATTTTAGGTTACTCGAAGCTCGAGCTTTAGAATTTTTCAAGTTGAACTCGAGCCTGAAGTCGAGCTGGAACCGAGCTCGAGTCAAAGTCGAGCCAAGCCCGAACCTAAATTTTTAGGCTCGTTGAGTTTGGAGCTGAGCTAAATTCTTTCGAGTCTGGCATGTTCGAGCTTGGCTCGGCTCATTTACACCCCTAGGCATTATGATGCTACAGATGTTACTTCTCTTGTAAAGGTACCAGGTAAATTTGAAACTCTTTTGGAGCGAAGGAAGATTTGAAAATTGATGGTATTATCAAATGGAAAAATAAAAGAATCACAGGGCACATATTGTTGCATTATGATTTCTTTTATCTCTGTCACATGCATGTGAGCTTCAACTTCGCAGTTGAGAAGGGTTGATGCGGCTATATGCTTTTTGCTATGGGGATATTTGGCTTCTTTTATTTTTTTTTTTGCTTGAACATGAATATTTTGATAAAAGGATAGATTAGGGGTTGAGCAATCGATTTAGAATATTGTGGGATTATTAGTGTTTGGGAGCTGTCTTGGGACTGTTACCTAGCTATCATGCCTTTTCTCCTTTTATTTGTCTTGATGACTTGATCAATCGTATTGGTCCTTATCCGCCATTGCCAGTTCTTCTTTCTTTCTTTCTTCATGTTTTATCATTTTGTCTTGTGTGAGTCTGTAACATCTTGAATTGCTATGTACCCTTGCAGGTGAAGGTAGGCCAGTTATGGATTGGGCAATTCGAGTCAAGGTTGCTGTTGGGGCAGCTCGTGGCATTGCTTACCTGCATGAGGATTGTAATTTTCCTGATTCTCAAATTTATTTCCTAATCCTATTCCAATTTTTTAAGCTTAGTTGCATTTATTATTTTGGTCACTAGCTAGAGTCCTGAAAGTCTTAATGCTTTATAATAAATTATAATTAGTTTATAAGATATAAATAATATTGTATTCATTGTGATAATAATCAAAATAAAATATAATATTATAATATTTTATGAAATGATAAATGACCAGAAATTAAAATAATAAAAAAAGATTCTTTCAAGGAATGATTGTTCTGACCTTTCTCCTATCCACCCATTTAAGTGCAAATGTGTTATCTTTCCTCTACCAGTTAAGTGTGTATCAATGAAATGCTTTGCAACAACTTTGATTATATCATAAACCATCCAATTTTCAGTAGCTATTGAGAAAAGTTTTAAGGATATATATTTCTTCATCCCCAAGTTAAATCTCACATCTCTAATTTTTCATTCCTTCACTGCATTTTTCCTTCTCTTTCACATGCATTCCTTTTTGTAATATCAAGGTGAGATTTTTTTCTCTCTAATTTATTGTCCTCTGAATCAGGTCATCCCCGCATTATCCACCGGGATATCAAGTCATCAAACATCCTTCTTGATAACAATTTTGATGCTCGGGTGCGACTATTTCTGCAAACTTAAACTTTTATTAGAAAATAGGAATCATGATATGCTGTAGAGGAACTTGCTCCTTTATGCCATCGAAGTGCTAATGGAATATTTATTCACCCTTTGCCATGTGAAGTCATTGACAATATTGTATTTCAGAGAATGACCAATTGTTTATTACAATGAACGTAGCAAAGAAGTGACTTTTTCCTTCTGTACTATAATTCATTAGCTAGCAAATTCTATTTTTCATTTCTTGTGTTTTCTAACAGGTTTCAGATTTTGGGCTAGCAAAGATAGCACTGGAACTGGATTCAAATACACACGTAACAACACGTGTGATGGGAACCTTTGGGTAGGTGAATCATGAGTTTTTATATCTTTGATAGATGCTGCTTATGTGGTCAAGGTAGTGTTACAGACCTTGTTATAGGAAAACATAGAAATCTAGCATGCTTGGTCTATTTCTTTTACAAGTCTGATTTTGTTTAGAACAAAGGTGATATGGATTGCCAATGAAATGTGGTTTAACATGGCATTTACTGATTAAAAGACAGTTTAGAAAATAAATCCTTAATATGCCACGGAAATCTTCTATATTTCGTATTTTCTTATCAGTGGATCTTTTTATTTCCAGGTATATGGCTCCTGAGTACGCAACAAGTGGCAAGTTGACTGAAAAATCTGATGTTTATTCTTTTGGGGTTGTGCTTTTGGAGCTAATTACAGGCCGTAAACCTGTCGATGCCTCTCAGCCACCAGGTGATGAAAGCCTTGTTGAATGGGTAAGTTCGTAACTTTTTTAGATGCTACATATTCCTGATATTCATGACATTTTAGATTAATGCCAACACTTTATACAGTTCTATCTTAGAATACTTTTAACATCTTCTTTTGATACACTCTGTCTTTCAAAACTCAAAATGTGAATTAATCTGGCTGTCCATTTAGTCGAGAAAAATCTAGCATTGTGTTGGCAAACTCCTCTCATTGATGGTGGAAAACTAACTTCAGTTAGCTACCCTTACAAAATGTTAAGGACTTCAACAGCCCATTTAAAATGTATTGCTATATCTTACTCTTTTTCTTTAAAAAGAAAAAAAGAAAAAGAAATAGTATAAAAAATGTTATATATTATAAAATAATAAAAAAATAAAAATTCTTATATTTTATAAAATATAAGATGTACAAACGGGCGTATCCTTTATTCTTCTAATTGTAGATTTGTGGTAGTTCTGAGTGCATCGTTCTGGCTACTGCTATTGCTCTCAATGGCTATGCATATCATCATTTTCGCCTTCCCCACGTTTTTTATTGGGATTGTTTGATGGGATAGTGTTTGGAAGTTTTATAGAAAAAGATATCTTAGAAATGATTAGACCATAAAGCACAATTATACTTATTGTCAGGCTCGACCATTACTTGCTGAAGCACTTGATAATGAGGACTTTGAAGCACTAGTTGATCCAAGACTGGAGAAGAACTATGTTGCAAGAGAAATGTTTAGGATGGTTGAAGCAGCTGCAGCTTGTGTGCGGCATTCAGCTGTGAAAAGGCCACGAATGAGTCAGGTACTAGTATTCTATATTCCTGATATGCATCATCCTTTTTTTCTTTACCAAATTTGAAAAAAAAGTTATCGATCTTTCTCTTCTTCCTCCACACCTTTCCAGGTGGTAAGAGCTTTGGACTTGTTAGATGAGTCGTCAGATCTATCTAATGGAATGAAACCTGGCCAAAGTGAAATCTATAATTCGCGAGAACATTCTGCACAGATCAGAATGTTTCAGAGATTGGCATTTGGTAGTCAGAATTATAGTTCAGATATTTTTGATAACACTCAAAGCAGCTGGAGTAGTCGAGAGCCCAGCAGCCAAAGTAACTTTATACCATAGTTCATTTCAGTATAAAACAATTGATTTGGTTTAAGTCTTCCATGGTGAATATGATCCTACATTTCTGATCTATAACATGGAATTTCCAAATTCGACAACAGCTGATTTCAGAAGGGTAACAATTTTCTGATGTCCTGGATTTTCGAGACCCTTGATGATTTTGTTCATCTTGGGCCCAGGTCATACCAAGTACAATCCTATGTATTTCATTCCTGTAATTGTCCCCTTATTTAGCTAACATGAATATGAATATATGATTTCTTTTGTACCTTATTTTGTATTCTTTATTATTTAGATTCATTGATACAGCTTTTCCATGTATTTATATATCAAGTCAATGCAAGTTTTCTTTTTGTATTACATTTGACACAGCTATACATTTTATTACTATTTTCAAGTGTTAATTTCACTTTCAGTCCTCGAACCTGTCACTATTTCTCGTTTGTTCTCTCTTAACTTCAATGTTAAGGTACAAAACCACTCAACTTTTTAAATCATTGTAATAAAAGTCAATTCACTATAAGTCAAACAAATCTATTATGGGCATAGCTTAGCTTAGCTAAACCCATAAGCATATAACAACCAGCTTATTAATTATTATTAAAATCAAGATTAATCTTTGTTATTAATTAGATTATCAAAATTATCACTCAAAGATCATTATTTCAAATATCAGCCGATTGTCTGCTAATCTGTTATCTTAATAGTAATTTTTAACCTTCCACGAATATGTACATAACCTCGTGAATGAGACTGGAGATCCATACTGTCTAGGCATTTGACCAGTCAGACGGTGCCACGTGTGACATAAACTCCAAATTCGGTATGCAAATAACTGCGATGACTAATGACACTTACCACCTTGTGCAGTTCCATATCTAACCTTCTCCATCTACCACTACCAGATGGCCATCCCCTTTCTTGTTTTAAATACAGTATGAGAGAGAGGGAGAGAAGAGAGGAGAGAAATGGAAGAAGTGATGTTATCAAAACAGTTTAGCTTGCTTACTTTCAAGGAAGAAGAAATCCATTGTATTGGTAGAGCTTTTAACGGTTCCAATTTGCTTGCAAGAGAAAATAAATTGGTTTGTGTAACCAGTGGCAACTCTTTCTTGGGTTCACATATTGTTAAGAAGCTCTTGGCTGATGGGTACCTTGTTAGAGTCACCATTCAAAACCAAGGTTTAATTTTCCTTTTCTTTTTCTTTCTCTTTTTTCTACTGAACCCTCAAGATATAAATGCACTGATGCCCAAGAAATAGATTATAATCTGTAGATTGCAGAAACCAAGAATTTGCCTCATAGTGTAGAAGAAGATTAGGGATCAAAAATCTTGATAACTTCAATCCTTTTAAGTATTTCCAATGTAGCGAGAATAAGAGAAAAGAGTCCCTTTTCTTGGTTTTCTTGCAGATTCTTATAACAGATTGTCTTATAGCTTTGTTTTTTGGCATTAACAGTGGATTTTGAAGACATGAGAGCTTTAATGAAAGATGAAGAGATTACTAAACTAGAGAATGTTGTAGTTGCAAAAATGCAAGATTTGGGAAGTCTCTGTGATGCATTTAGAGGTTGTCATGCTATTTTCCATACCTCATCATTCATCGATCTTCACGGAGTTTCTGGCTATTCAGTAAGTTCATTACAATTTCACAACTCCAGAGATGACTTTGTTATTACTGAATTAAAGCTTATTGGCACAAATTATGCCTATTTATTGCATACTTCTTCAGAAATTGGATTCTATATTTCTCTGTGCTATTCAAATTCAAAATTTGCAGGAACAAATGGCATTTCTTGAGACAGAGGCTGCAAAGAATGTTATTGAAGCTTGCAGTAGGTCAGCATATGTCAAGAGGTGTATTTTCACTTCTTCTCTTCTTGCATCAATCTGGATTAATGACAAGCTTGAAGGTACCATTGACGAGAGTTGTTGGAGCAGTGAAGAATTCTGTATAGAAAATAAGGTATTTAATCCAATTCTTTTCCTTTCCTAACAATTTCTTCAATGGTGTTCAAAGATAAATCGGATTGAATCTTCTTGTCTTCTGAAAATGGAAAACAGCTTTGGCTTGCCTTGGGTAAAATGAAAGCAGAGAAGGCAGCTTGGAGGAAATCAAAGGAATTGAAAGTGAAGCTTGTAACCATTTGCCCTGCACTTCTTATGGATCCTTCATTCCCTTCTGCTCATAGAAACAGCTCTCTGCCATATCTTAAAGGTACTAATACTTTTAATGGGCTCTGATAATTAGTTTCCTGGAATTTCAACTAATAACTCAGGAGATGACTCTTTTCGATCTTTTCTTGTTGCAGGTTTCTCGAAAATGCTACAACGAGGCATTCTAGCAACTGGGGATGTTAACAAGGTAGCAGAAGCACACGTTCGTGTTTATGAAGCCATCGATGGTGGAGCTTATGGGAGATATCTTTGCTTTGATAAGGTAGTTCAGAGACTGGATGAGGCTCTTCAACTTGAAGATGAACTTAAGAGACATGGATTAAGTTTAGTTTTGCCTCAAGAAATAGAAGAAATACATAGCAATCTCAGCAATTTCAAACTTCCTAGATTGTTACTTCAAGCCTCTCAAAGCAAATCTTGCAGACAGTAAAAAGGAGTTCATGAAATTCTTAATTTGTTTTGTCCTTTTAAATTATGTACAAACTTGGGAGCTAAATATGAAAAGATTATTTAGGCTCGGTTTGTTTCAGGAAAATGTTTTGTTAAGTTTTCTAATGTCTGAAATCATTAGAAAAAATTAGTTAATGAAAAATATATTTATAAAATAAAAATTAATCAATTTTTTAAAAAAAAAAATTTCTTTTTAAGAGAAAAAAATATTTTTCAAATATTGATAAATTTATTATAACAAAAGAAAATTTTGTAGATACATATTTACTAATCCATTTAGTCATCGATGCTAACTATTGTCAAAAACTTCTCTTTAAAAAAAAAAAAATTTTTGTCACAAACTTTTTATTTTTGTATATTTTTATATTGAGTAGCAAATTTTTAAAATATAATTTTTTATAATTCTATATGGTTTTTTTTTTTTTTGAAAAAAAGAAATAAATTCATTCCATACAAGAATAATGTTCTAACAAGCATTCAGGAACAGACTCCCAAATCTCTTCACGAACCAACCGAAGTCTTTTAAATTGAAAATTTAAATTTTTTTTAACTAAGTTTTAACATCATAACCAAATAACAGAAAATGAGGTTTCCGCTCGTTTCCGTTGTAGAAAAATATTTTCTACAATTTTATTTGTGGTGTTTAAGAAAATAAGTCAATAAAAAATATTTTCTTGATCAAAGAAAAATTAAATTATTTTTTAAGAAAAACAACTTTCCATTTTCGAGAGAATAAAATATTTTCTGGATATTAGTAAACCTTATAAATTCATATTTTTTAATTTATTAATTATCATAGTCGTTATTACCGATCACCATGTACCACCAACCACTACCACTGGTTACCACCACCGACCACCACCACTGACTGCTTTCATAATTTATTAATGTATCATAGTCGTTATTACCTGAGCGCGGGACCATCGTAGCCACCCAACTAACTTGGGTACCAAGCGGAACCTACCGACCAACACAACCACTGACTGCTTTCATAATTATATATATATATAATAATATATATATATATTTTGCATTTTGTTTTCAATATTTAACAATAAATTTTTAAATTATAAAATTTATTATTATTATTAATATTTTTTTATGGTATTATGAGATAAAAATTTTAATATTTTAATTATTTTTTTCACTCCCTTCATATATATATATATATATTATAATATATATATATATATATATATATATTTATAATAATATATAATATAACTTTTTAATGAGAAAGTTACCTCTCACAAGTCACAAGAGGAATTTCGTCATTAATGCTATATTTTGTCATAAATGTGTCTTTGTGTCAATTTTTGCAACTCCTATAATTAAATTCTTACCTAAAATTCCTTACAACCCATTTATTTTGTTAGGTAATTAGGTCGGGACAGAGAATACATGGTCTGGAAACCAAAACATATATCCTTATAAACCATGTATTTTGTTAGCTAGACCCAACTAGTCAAGGACTTGCATAATAAATAAATACATTGTTAATGATTTAGATGTTCCAGGTTTCGGACCATACCGTGCGTAAATCTTTAATCAGAAAGTCTTTTTTTTTTTTTTTTTTTTTTTTTTTTTTTTTTTTTTTTAAGGAAACAAGGAAATTAGCTCTCATCCCAACGGAAATACTCTGCCAAAAAGGTCGTGATTAGGATGGTAAGTCATTTTAATCTCCACAAGAGTGAGATTATAAATTCAATTCCTATTTTATTGAGAAAGGAAAAAATCATGGTTCGAGTGAGATCACACCTCTTGATTATGAAAAAAAAAAAAAGAAAACACCTATCTAGATCAAATATATGGATCCACCTATGAATCAAATAAATATTGTCATAAATGTGTATTATATGTTTTTCCATGAAAAAATCTTGCGACATTCTTAATAAATCTCCGAATACTCTAAATTATAAAATTATATTAATTAAACACTTCAATTTGTAGAGTTATTTTATTAAATGTTCGATCTTAAGAAATTAAATCGATTAAATAGTTAAAAATATAAAAATTATTATTTATAAGTTATATTAACTACATATCAAATCAATATTTTATATATAAAATAAAAAAAATCTTCAAATCATTGTTACTGATAAATAGAGACGTCTAATATTATTAAAATTTGTAATTTTAGGTGTCCATATCACAATTTGGAATGTGACAAAATTTTTGAGAAAAAAAAATTACAAGAATTTATTGATATATTTGGCCCCCCTGTCTATTTTTGTACCGTACTTTTTGCAACAGATTTCATTAATTTCTGACAAAAACTTTCCAGAACTCGCTGGGTTAGGTTGGAACTGAGAGAATGGTCCCGAAACCAACACGTATTCCTTATAATTTATAATCACTTGTTTTGTTAGTTGGACCGTATTGATCAAGGACTCACACGTATTCCTTCAATTTCTTTTTATGTTCACTGTAATTTTGTTTTCAAATATTGTTAATTTCTATTTATAATTTCAATTTCAAAGTAATTGATCTTTATTTTACAAAGTTTTCTATAATTTTTATTTTCTGCACTATCAATTTATTTTTCAGTAGCCAATCAACGTTTATCATGGATTCAAATTCATTTCAGTTCTTTGAATAAAAGATCATATAATGCAATTACTTAGTTGATACTCAAGCTGTTAGACAGCTTTTGAATGCTTCGGTATATAAAATTTGGTTTAGTCCATTGATCAATTGAAGGCAGCAATTATAAAATTTGGTGCAATCATAACATGAAAGAGTGCTTCTTCATTTGGTATGCTGTTAAATTAAACAGATTAATGTAGGGTTATCCACCAAGCTACTGTAGATGCCGTATAAATAAAAAGTTATATTAAGTCGTTTTTATCCATTACGAGATCTAATAAATCGAAATAATATTATAAACTATATAATAAGAGCATAACAATATATTACATGATAAGAATAATTTATTTCAATTCCATAAACATTTTTCACTCGTTTAAAATCTAAATTGACAGGATTGTAAAGACTATAACAATAGAGAAAAATGCTTTCTTGAGTAGTATAACTCGCTTTAATTCTCATCCACAAAGGAAAATGCCAAGAAAATTGAGGAGAAAAGACTAAAGGGTAGCTTACTTTGGTAGCAGCACCTTTGCAATGGTCCCGAACGCGGTGGCAATCACAAACCATTGGTTTTCCTTTCATTAATTACAATACTTACCACTTTCCTTTCGGGTCTTTGAACTATTGCTTTTAGTGCCGCCTTAAAAAATTACAAGTCGTTTGCGGTGCATATAAGGTTTATGGACCTTTCGTCTAGTCAATAATTGCCTAAATGTGAATAATTCGTGAGTCTATTTTATTTTTATCCGTTATAATTAGGCATGGTCGGTTCAATGAACCGCCGGTTCGAAATGTTTAAAATTTTAAACCGGAATCAACCCTTGAACCTTCGGTTCCGGTCCAGTTCCGGTTCCGGCACGGTTCGACAAGGTTCCGACGAACCGACGGTTCGAATTACGGTTCCGATTCGGTTCCGGCATTACGCAAATTTTAAAAAAAAAATAAAATTTTGATTTCGAATTCAGAATTCATAATAAATAATAATTTTAAAATGTTTTAATTTTATTAACTAAATAAATTATTATAAAATTTTAAAAGAAAAACTTCTATTAACTAACTTAGAACTATTACTACATTAAATTTACAAATTTTGCTAATTCACTAATGTAGAAAACTATAAATGGAATATAAAATTAATGGAATGAGTTGGAAATTATGATTTTCAAATACTAAGAAAATTATTAAAAAAAATTAAATGAAGTAATTTTATGAATGGAAAAAATTAAGATTAGAGAAAGAATTTGGAATTGGATGTAAGAAAATAAAAAATAAACAATAGATAATTCCAATATTAAGGAAAATAAAGCAATAGAAAAATAATGAACTAGAGAGAATTTTGATTGAGAACAAGAGAAGAAGTTAAGATATAAATTGGTTGTGAAATAAAATAACAACCACTCATCATATTTATACATGTTTCATCATTTATTAGTTTCCCAAATTGTCCTTATAACAGAAAAAATAACAGCTATATAATTTAGTAAATTACAGTAAATAAATAAATAAATGATTAAAAAATGAATAAAATTTATTTACCAAAAAATAAATAAAAACCACCTATCATATCAAAAATTATCCGTTACAGTCTTTTTTTGTACACTTGAAAGTATTTTTTTTTTTCACCACTTTTTATAACTTATGTACCATTGTACTTCTTTTCACCATAAATCAAATCAACTATAATCAAATCAAGTTATATAAATTTTTTTATAAAAATTTTAAGCTACAATTTTTTTGTGCATCCGGTTCGAACCGGACCGGAACCGCCGGTTCCGAGCCGGTTCCGGTTCATATTTTAACATTGACACCGCCGGTTCCGAGCCGGTTCCGGTTCATATTTTAACATTGACATGAACCTTAACCGGCCCTTAAACCACCGGTTCCGGTTCAAAATTATGAACCGCAGATTTCGGTTTGGTTCCGGTTCGCCTACAGTACGGTTCGGTTTCGGTTAGAACCGAACCGGTGACCATGCCTAGTTATAATACTCCGAATATTGTGACTTGTTGTAATTATATTCTTTTTTAAATATTTTGATAATTATTTCTTAAAATCTAACTTAAAAGGTTTATTACGTTTACTAATTGAACCGATCAAAACCATTATATTCTTCGGTTTTCCATCATCTTAGTCTCCATGAGTGTTGCCTTCCATAGTCTATTACACTTTGGAAGTTTTAAATTATCACTAACAAGTGCATTTATGTACTCCAAAAGGTTAGCCTAACGGAAATCATGGAGGATTTGATACACAACTTTCATTAACCCAAACACTCATTTTTGGGCTTAACAAATAAAAAGGGATGGCAAGTTTGTTAAAAATTTATCATTAACAGAACTTTACAAAAACATGATACAAGAACTTTTCCAAGCTTTTATAGTAAAAAGAAGCAAGTTCAATATGAGGGCACTTTCCTCTTATAGTTCTAATGCAGCGTGAGCATAATTATATAGGAAAAATATATTATGATTTTTGTGGTTTGTAAAATACAATTAGTCCGTCTATGTCTTTTTTTAAAATATATCAATTTGTCTTTATATTTTGCTTCTTTTATACTATTAGGTCATTTTGTCCATTTTTTGCATCTTTTATATTATGTCAACAAGAAAACATAGAGGTCAAAGGAGAGATACTAAAATATTATGCCAAAAAAATTACAATACTATCCCTATCGTTTGAAAAATACAACTAGTCTGTTCCTGTGCTTTTAAAAATAAAAGGGATATTTACATCATTTTATAAGATACTTAAAAAAAAATGCAAAAATTAAACGGAATGACCTTATAATCCGAAAGATATAAACTATAAAAATATTTTAATCTATTTTAAAAAGACATGAACGAACTAGTTATATTTTGCAATCCAAAAAAATCTATTGTACTTTTCCTTAATTAAATTTAGTCCAATGGGTTAAAGACACGGTTCCTAAATTGTTATATTTTTCATTTTTCATTCAGCTGAGACTCAAGAAAGGCCTTAATTTCACTCAATACCTCTCACTTATAGACAATATCACAACGTCATTCCTTAAATTTAATTTGTAACAATAAAATTCTTTAACTTCGATTTTTGTGTAATGAAATAATCCATTTTACCCGATTTCCTGTGAGGAGACGCCGGAAAGCTGACTTGGCATGCCAGCTCAATTATTATTTTTTGTTTTTAATGCCACGTAAGCCTTGACTTTCTCTCTCCTATCCTATCTTGCTCCTAATAACAATAATTTAAAAAGCCATTAATAATCTTACACAAAGATAAAATTAAATCAAGACGCTTCTTCTTTCCCCTGCACTTTAGTTTCCTCTCTCTCATTCTCTCTGTCATAAACTATAAGTGAACCTGCTGATAAGGGAAAAATAAATCAAAAAGGAAGTTACTTAAAACGATTGAATTGAAGCAGACTATCTGTTTTCAATATGAGTAATATAGAAAAATGAACTGCTTGAGTCATTATGAATTTCTTTTATCATTTTTTAACATACCAAACCAATAAATTATTTTTGTTAAACTTCAAAAGAAAATCTCTCTTAGTTTGTAACTATGTCTGTCTAATATTTGCTTGTCCATATAAAATCTCATCAACCTTCAAGCAAGGCAAATGCATCCAGTAGGCTATAAAAGTAGTGAAGCAAGTGACACTCTCAAGCTCCTTACTGGGAAAATATTTTCCAAGGAAATATAAGCTAAAAATAATTCAACATCTCCACCTTGCAGTAAAATGGAACAAATCATGTGAAATAAAAACATCAACACCCATGACCACTGTCACCAGAAAATCTCAAATTTTAAACACTAACTTGCAATTTCAATCAGCAAAGCTAAAAAATGTGATATGAGTTAAATGTTAACCAAAAAATATTACAATTTTGACTTACTCACTCATTCAAAGTTGCAATTGTATTATATAGATGTAAAAGAAGGACATAACCGGTGGCGTCGAGGATATGCAAAGTGGTTGCAATGGTGACACCGGTGATGGCAATTATGGAGTTCTTGTCTCTGTATTTCTGTTTCGTTTCGATTTCAACATAGCTCTCAGCTAAGGGCTTCTTTTTTTTTGTCTCTTTACTGTCTTCATCTTTTGCTTTTCATTTCGTTTTCGATTGATTTTCTTTTTCCAAATTTTCATTTTACTAGATTGATAGCGTCTTTCTTTAGATTTGGATCTAAATTTTTAAAGATTTAGATCTAGGATTTTCGAAATTTGCATTGAATTGCTCCTTCGTAAATCTTAATCGTCCTCTTGATCTTTTACTTTCGTTGCTTTCGTAAATCTTAATCTGCGTTTTGGTGTTCTTTACAGTAAAGGAAAGAGAAAGCAACGGAGGGAGGAAAGAGAAATTAGGAAAGAGATAAAAAAATCTCTTGAGAAAAAAAGGGCAAAAGAGAGAACAAATTATAAGAGTTGTTTACATTTTTCGAGACTTAAACGTGACATTAAAAATAATAGAAATAGCTGAGCTGGTGTGTCATATCAGCTTTCCGGCGTTCATCACCGGAAATGACGAAAGGGATTTTCTGATACACAAATTGAAATTAAAGGATTTTACAGTTATAAATTAAATCTGAGAGACAGTGCTGTAATAGTGCCTTCAGTTGAGGAACGTCAAGTGAAATTAAATCCTTGAGAGAAAAAGGAATCATTTTTCACATCAAATAAAAAATTAGAGAAAAAAGTAAAAAAAAACATTTTTACCGCAAACTTGTAAACGATTCTTCTCGCGGTTTTGAAGAAAACGGCATCGTTTAACTGGGAGTTTTTTTGTTTTTTTTTTTTTTGATATTACTGGGAGTTTCTTTGTGGAAAGAAATATCTTTCTCCTCGGTCCTTATTCAGCCCAAGTAAACAACTCAAGAACCTACAGAGAGACTGCTAATTAGAGAGAGAGAGAGAGAGAGGAGAGATGGGTGAAGAGAGAGAAGACCCGCAGAAGATTAAGAAGATGGCGGCAGCGGCTTATGATTACGAAAACGACCCCAGATGGGCCGATTACTGGTCCAACATACTAATTCCTCCTCACTTGGCTTCTCGCTCCGACGTCGTCGACCACTTCAAGCGCAAGTTCTATCAGCGATACATTGTTTGTACTCCTTTCTTTTCTTATTTAAATATATGAAATAGCCCATTTCTCATATATATGTTGTTCTTGATTGTTGTTTCTGGTTTACTATTGGAATTGTGAATTGCAAATCGCCATGTGGGTTTTTTTTCCTCTTCCCTGAAATTTTGGGTTTTGGGGTTTTGTTGTACCCTTTTCGCTTACTTGGCTGTACGCGCGCTTCTTTATTGGGGTTGTGAGTACCAAGTCTCATTTCTGGGTTCTTGCCATTTATGCTCCCAGTGGGTTCAGGTTCCATTTATGCTGGATATAAATGGAGAATGGAGCAGATGTGGTTTCATGCTCTATTGGTTTGCTGGATATATGCCTAAGTTTGATAAGTTTGTGCTGTGTCTTTTTTTGGTTGTTTCTTTGTGTTTCACCAATTTTATCTGATATAAATTCTTCCTTTTTGGATGCTGATTTTCTTCTGGAACCAATGTTTAAGAGGTGCTGTATGATAATTCTTGGGCATTTTCCATAGTTGATAACTCTTGGATATGTTTGATTGGCAGGATCCTGATTTCATTGTGGAGGCAATGACTTCATCTGGTTCATCTCAATCAACAAAACCATCGTCATCCTCTTCAACATCATCAGGGACTCCAAATGACCAAACCCGACAACGGAACACAGGTTGAGGATACTAGGTCCACATTTAAATGAAAAATAAAGAAGTTGACATGATTTTTTTTTTTTTTTTTTTTTTTTTTTTTTTTTTTACTAGGTCCACATTTAAAATGAAAAAAATAAAAGAAGTTTGAATGATTTTTTTTTTTTTTTTTTTTTTTTTTTTTTTTTCGTACTCATTAGAAATGTGAAGTTCATTTTATTATTGAAATGGTGAGAACTTCCTTCTTTTACTTAATGGAGCCAAAATTCTTATTTTTTTTTTTTTTTTTTTTTTTTTTTTTTTCGTACTCATTAGAAATGTGAAGTTCATTTATTATTGAATGGTTGAGAACTTCCTTCTTTACTTAATGGAGCCAAAATTCTTATTATAGGGTCAAATGCTAGAGCCTCTGGCACATCAGCCACTGCTGGTCCAAATGCTATTCCTACTTCTGTCCGTTGGGATAGACAAACTATACAATTTTCTGTCAATGCTTGGGTATGACAATTTTTTCTTTGTTTTCTTTTTCCTCTTCTTATGCCTGCTTACGTACATGCTTGTGAAAAATGTTTATCTAAATGTTACTGTGCGTTAATCAATGATGATAATCATGAGATGTGTGTCTCAGAAGTACTAATGTCTAATAAGTATTCAATGAAATGTCAATTATGAACAATAACAACGAGAACGACTAAGCCTTATCCCAAATTAGTCTGGGTTGACTATATGAATCTTTTACTTCCATTCTACTCTGTTCATAGCTAAATGCCTAAATTTGCATTAATGCACGGAAGTAGAAATTTCAGTTATGAATACCATATGTACTTTGTTCTAAGACTTGTAATTATTTGAATTTTACACCTAAATGATTTAGCACGCTTAATCCTTCTGGCACTTTCTCATTCCTTTTATGACCAGAGTATTCAGAAGTGATGCAGACAGCGCATAGTCCTAAGAAATGTCAAACTGTTAACTTACCCATTCATAACTCTGCCTTTAGTGGCAGTATAGATTGTTCGAAAATTGTCACGATTCTTGTAGTGTCGCTCTATTTTCTATATCACTGTTGCATCGAATATATGTTTTGTTAATTTTTCTGCTGCAGGTGTTTGTTGTGGCCGTGCTTGCAATTTTCCCTCTTGTACCCAGGAATCTTTCTAATAGGGCATATCGATTGTCTTTTATGGGCACTGCATGTTCATCTCTGTATTCCTTATACACGCTATATGGGGTAACCAAAATTCCTATGGTTTTTATTATTTTCCTCACTGTGCTGGAATTCTTCTCTAACTGGCTTCCAATTTTCTACAGAGACCAAGGGCATTGAATTTGCAGGCTATACAAGCCTACTTTCAGTCAATAATTGCAACAAAAGATTTTATTTACCTCATCTACTGTCTCACTTTTGTGACTTCACATCTTTGCCTCAAATGTGAGCATTACTTTGGGACAGAATTTTATTGGCTTTTGATGTTATTGCAATTGGTATAGCATATTAATCAGGTTGTCCTTTTTGCAGTTGCTTTGATTCCCATTTTATGCCGTGCTTTGGAGCAGGTAGCAAAGTTCTTAAGGCGCAATTTCAGTCGTTCCACCTTATACAGGTAGAAGAGATGCCTATTTTTAGTTAAACGAATATACTACTAGCTATGTATTTAATCAATTACCATGAATTTTTGTAATTATATCTATCCTACAAATGAAACTGAAATTCCAATTTTTTGCTCTAGCTGTTCTAAAATATCAGATATTTTCATTTATGGTTGTTTCCTTTTTCTGGTTTCCATAGTTTCACAATCTATCTTGAAAATATTCTTTTTAGTTTTGCTATTCATATAACTATGTGCAATTGGTTATTGGTATTATTAGGCATCTGAACATGAAACTGCTCTTTGGATCCATGTCACTATTTATTATCATGCTGTAATTTTGTTGACTGTGTATATTTAGATTAGCTCAAAAATTCCTAGTGCTACACTAATTATGCAAAGAAGACAAAATATTGAATTTCACAGCTCAAAAGTTTTTCCGTAACGTAATTTAGAACTTGCTTTGAGTCATTGATTTATTTCATTGCACCCTTCTGGAGTTATCCTGCACATTAGGTGAAGTTTCTCTGCTGACATCTAAGTGATATTGACATATTAATTTAATTTCACTGGACGTAGTCAGTGTTTATGTTAGGTTGACGACTTTTTCTGTAATCATTTGGCATAAAGTGTTTTTCTGGGACCAACTGCCCTAGTAAATAGTTCGTGGGCTGCAAATAGGAAGCTTTAGTTGTGATTAGTACAGTTTTTTCATGGTTATTGTGTCCTAGTTATTTGACTTGTATCTACTCATGAAATGTGGAACTACTTTTGGTTTCCAAGTAATGTACTGTGGGGAAGGCACTTATAGTTATTTACTGTTGATTGTTGTTCAGAAAAAGATGCAAGAACTTTAGCGTGATTCTAGTGTGACATTTTGGTGGAATGTCAGACTTCTTTCATGCATGGTAGACGATGTTTATTAAAATCACTTACGTTTGAGTCTTTTAGGCAGATGATGCTGAAGAAAGTGAAAAAAATGGCCTCTCTTTTGTTTATCTTTAGTGACCCAATAATTTAGAATGGAAACATTTTGTTAAAACTATCCTGATTTGCTTAGAAAATTTTGGAGATGAATTGAATAGGCACCAATAAACTCTCTCATCTGTATTAGGCAGAAGATGATCTTTTGCTTTTACATGCAAATGTTGGTTGAAAGCAGAGCGATTATCATTCTGAACTCTTATTGGCTATGTACCTTCTACATTGTTGTTTAGTGGCATTTGTATTTATTCCTTTTCAGTAGGGTCACTGCTTAATTTTGTTGTTTAATGGTACCAATGAAACATAGTGTTTTGGTCTGTTGTCTTGATATTTCTCCCCTTCTGAGAAGACATCAACAAGAAACCAGTAGCAGTATTCCCTTTTTATTTTATTGCTACTACCAACAAGCAAGCATTTTCTTCATTAATCTGCATTATGCCTTTTCTTTTAATAATCCAAAAGCTGATTCATTAAACACCAAATGGCATGCCCATGTACTTGAGAAATTATAGAGCAGGCAAAGTAAAAGAAGGAACATTAAAAGGTAAAAGATCCAATTCAGATTTTATAGGGTAACGGAGCATAAAAACCTAGCTTGGAATGCCTTGCGATCAATTATCATAGTGTTACATTCCAATGTAAAGAACCGCATTAGACATGACCTGAGTAATTTTCCGAATCATCTGGTTTTCTCTCCTGTCAAAAGCTACATTGCCTGATGGAATTGTCTTCAAGACTGTAGAGAGATGCAGCCAAGAACCTTGAATATAGAATGAAGAACAGACAAAAGGTCACATACTGCAAGAATGAAGAAAGCAACAAAAAGGAATGAGCTAAACATCAACTTCAAAAATATCTCCTGGTTGAGTTAGTACGAGAGTATGTAGGTTGGTCTCTTAAGGAAAAGCCATTTAACATCTCATCCCCTCTCCTCTGTTAATATGAGCAAAACCATTCACCAAAACTGTATGTTTTTCAAAAGACTGACATGATAACCCTTTAAATATACAAAATGCAGTTGACCAAATGAACACTGTTCCTCTGCATGGTAGCTTCCTTCCATAATGCAGTTCTCTTTTGTCATGATTGCCACTTTGTAAACTATTATTAGCATTATCTTTGTGCACAATTTATTTATTTATTTTTCTTTAACAATTTCTCACTCTTTGAACAGGAAGTACCTTGAAGACCCATGTGTGTGGGTGGAGTCAAACGCAACTACACTCAGCATTCTTTCCTCACATGCTGAAGTTGGACTTGGCTTCCTCTTAATAATCGCTTTGTTCTCGTCAGTTAGCCCGAGTCTTTTCATCTTTTTTTTCCCCCTATTAGGAACTTTTTACCTTGGAACATTTCTCAAGTTTTCATATATATGTGCAGGTGGCAGCGCAACATAATACAAACTTTCATGTACTGGCAGGTAAAGTACATCTGAGTTTCATGTTTGTTTTCTCCTTTTCTGTTTTTCACTTCTTTTTTTAGGGCTTTTGTTTGAGGGTGAACTTTGGTATAGTAGGTAAGTCGCTGTGTTGCAACCTAGGGGTTAGAGGGTTCCAATTGTGAAAAAGGTCCCCTTATTATGCAAGAAGAAAGTTAAGAGCAACTTTCCTCCAGTAGCTAATATGGGATGTCTCTAGGAGAATTTTTTGGCTCTCTTTTTTATTTTGTGACATTTTTGGCTCTCTTTTTTCTTTCCGTTATCTGTGGATACACCTTTTTCGGAAATAGCCAGCACATTTTGACACGTATTAGGCAAGGCATGCAATGACACATGCTTAATGGGGAGGAAGGGAAATTATTGAGATCATGTTTCTATGGGTCCTCTTGATGGAATTAAGTAGTTTGAAGATGCTAACAAGAAAGCACACGTGCATGTACATGCCCATGGCCACACCTGTAGATTAAAGCAGGTTCATACATGTGTATTATACTATTATCCAAGTAGTTCAGCTGAGAAATCAATGCTAGAAAATAGAAAATACCTATTTGCGTTAGGTTCATTCCACGGGGAGATTATTTTGCAACCTGAGCTTTTGATGATATCACTTTACAATCTCAAATGGATCCCCCAAAAGAACTGAATCAATCTCAAATGGATCCACCAAAGAACTGAATCAATCATAAAGTTGTATGTCACATGAGGAGAAAATAATTTGGTTCCAAACACGATAAAAATGAACTCATAGGAATGCAACAGTATGAATATGTATCCTTAATTTTTTCCATTCAAGAAATTGGAGACTACTAATCAAAGGATATTGTTATTATGACTCTTAGGTTTCTTTTGATCTAGAATTTTCTCTATTGATGTATTTGATTGATGAGATTGTGTATTATTGGTCCGACAGTTTTGACCACTGCATGATCTAATTAGATAAGCCTTTTTTGCCTCTTGGGTATTCTTTCTGGCAGCTATTGAAGCTCATGTATCATGCACCTGTCACTGCTGGTTATCATCAGAGTGTTTGGGCCAAGATTGGGAGGACTGTCAATCCACTCATCCATCGTTACTGCCCATTCTTGAGCACTCCAATTTCCGCTGCTCAAAGATGGTGGTTGAGGTAGATACTTAAAAGCCTAGTATAGCAAGCGCGAAAAAGAAGTAATTCAACATGGAATTTGTTCTCTTGTTAGTTACCATGAACATTTGGAAGTAAAAGCACTAACTCCATATGTATGGCCATTTTGATTCTAGAATAGTAAAGCTTTACTACCGCTGATATAAGTTCTAAAGATGCATTACATTGCTACGATTTTTTTTTTTTTTTTTCTGGTTCTGACTTGGTATACACTAATTTGACTTTTGTGCACTAAATAGTAGTGCATTATGGAATAAGTGCTTTATGTGTTTATCTGGTCTTTAACTATGAATTCTTTGTTGGGTTTTCGACTGTATATGATGTCAAGCAAATCCTTCTTTTTTATGATATCAAGAATGGTTCTGTGTACTTAAATAAATACTGCTAATCGTGATTTTGCTGAAAACCTGCTTTATTTGGTGGCGATTGTCAGACACAAATCGGCCTGAGTAAAGTTAATTGCTTGAATATTAACAACAAATTCAATTTTCCAAAAAGGCGAAAGAAAAAACGAAATCGAAACAAAAAAGTTAAAACTCTAAAAGACTTAAAAGATATAATGGAATGTGGTATTTTTAAATATAAATTTTCATTCAATAATATTTCAAAAACATAATTGCTTACATAATATAATTAGTTGTACTACTTTTTATCACTTTCCATAACTAATATATTTTTATCACTTTGAAAAGCAAAAGCAAAAGCAAAAGCATGGGTATCTCCTATCATCATAAAATTGTGTCGACCTCACAGGGCAAACAACCCTTAATTGTTTATTATATGCTTCTATAATAAGATTGATAATTTCTGTGTGAAGCATATGTCTTGGTCTAATCTTGTCACCTGTCACCATTATTGGACTCCTTCGCCCATTAAAATTAATTCAAAGATTATGTTCCTAAAAAGGCAGAGTTTTCTTGCACGTACGGGTTAATGGACTTACTCTGTCGTACAAGGATTTGTAGCTTGCCATAATTAGTGCATATACTATACACAACCAGATAAATTCTTAAATGTAAGATGGATTATCATGAAGGAAGACTATTACAACTTTAAAAAATAATTATATTTATTTATTCTTTTTTAATTAATTTATATACCCTTAAAAATTCTTGCCCATTTTAAAAAAAAAATCTTGTTTTTATTGTTAAGCCCGTTAGTTTACGTTTTTTTGGGGTTCGATTCGGAGACAATATCTGCTTCTTTTTTTTTTTTATCGGTTGTATTGAAACTATTTTACTTTCTGATACAGATGAATAAAGTTTCGTTTTTTTTTTTTTCAACGATACATTGCAAGATTAATAATAATGGGGATGCGGCACCGTGTAATGTATGTATGGGAATCTTTTGTCGCTTAACAAAGTGGACAGCAATACCACATCATTATTGAACTCTATCACCAATGATTATGTGGAGTCCACCAGGAATGTAGGTCCCCAACTCCACATGGCCGATGGTCGAGCGGACGTCATTCCGTGAGTTTCGAGAATTGTCCTCAGAAGAAAATTCCACGTGTAGATCCATTTAATTTGACTTTTCTGATTCGGTTTGAACTGGATCCAAATATTAAAATCGATCCAAAACATCGATTCAATAATTGAACTAAACTGTATCCGATGATTCAGGTTAAAAAAGAAAAAAGAAAAATACACCTGAACCGATTCAAAATTAGTGATTCAAATCGATAATTCAATCCGATTATACGCAATTAAATTTGATCGAGATTTTTTTAATTAAATTCTCAAACTTTTATTTATCTGTATCAAACTTTTAGATAAATAATTACTTTTACCGTTAGTACGGCAATAATAAGGAAAAAAACAAAAAAACTGTCAAATACTTAACATAGGAGGTAAATACCTTTACCTTAAATAAGAAACAAAGGAAGAAGGTTCTTTCTGCCTCCTCCAGTTACAAACTCAAAAATCAAAATCGAAACCAGAGCACAAAAGATTCCCATTCCACTACAAAGCGCAATCTATTCGCCGGCGGAAGATGACATCATCACTGCCGGCGACTCATTCATCAGCAGATCTCCACAATTCATTTCCGTTCCCGTCAAAACCACTACCACCATCATCATCATATGCTGGTGACGGTGATGGGGATAAGACGACTGACGCTCCGTTGCTTTCTAGGGATTTGCTTAACAACAATGGTGCTAATGGCGGAACTAATAAACAGCAACCGCGCCGCCGGGCCTCTGCCAGCAGGAAGCCAGATAAGCAGCCTCAGAGGCAGCTGTCTTTGGGCCGAGATATCGGGCATGCCGCAAGCGAAACTTACTTGCTCACTCGCCTCACCATCAAGCTTCTTAGATATCTCGGGTATCATTTAATCTTTGAGTATATTTCAGTCAATGCCTGATAAATATATAGCGTTTTAGTTTTCGAGTTCACAATAGATTATTTAGTTATTAAAATTTTGGAGTCTGATTGTTTCAAGAGAAAACAGAGGGAATGATGATTCAAAACAAAGGCAGGAGTTTTGTTATTGTCTGTTCTCTCTTTCTTTTCAATATAAATGGAATTCAACCCAATACTTACGCAATATAAGGTTCTTTTTTTTTTTTTTATTTGATTCCCCTTCATTTTTCTAGGAAACTGAAGAAGTGGAAGCTTTGTGGTTTTAGACTTGATTGAGAAATTTTAAATTTTAAAATGCAACAACAATATGACTTATTTTTATTGACACCGTTCAAATAGATGTTCAAAATTTCAAATTATTTATAATATGTTGCAGCTGGTGCCATTACGTAGTAGTGGTCCTGAGTGCTTGTCATTTAGTTGGTGCAATGTTGAGGTCCTGTGCGATCAGTAGAAGTGGATAGTGATTTCTTATTAGCTAATCTTGTGAAATGTGAATAACGATTTGGTGGGATTGTATTGAGAGATAATAAATCTGGTTAAACATCAGAACAAATAATTCTGCCCAAGACTATATAGAGGTATGGAGGTCTGCTGATTTACTCATTTTTTTTCCTCTTGCCTATATTTGGTCTCAATACTGTGGCAGTTGGCTTGTCAGGTGCCCCAGGCCTTATTGGGATTATGTTTTCTTTGGTTAAAAAGTGTTAGTACGTTAAGAAGCATGGAAAAAGTCCCTGCAATATTTCTATTATGCTGTATCCCTTGGATGGAACTTGAATTGTACGAATATTATTTGAAACATGTCATCTTTTAACCAGTTATTTTCATTCAGGGTAGGTTATCGGTGGATCACAAGACTAGCTGCCCTTGCACTCTATGCGCTTTTACTTATGCCTGGGTTTCTTCAAGGTCTGCTTTGGTTGCTTAAAATTTATCATGATGAGTTTGTTACTATAATTACGTCACTATACCATGGTTGTCTGAAATTTTAGTGGTTCTATCTCATTATTAAAGTTTGCGAGGAGATTTCTTGTATTCATTGTACAACTCATGGCTTGACCACATATTTATCGATCTAGATCTGATTTTCAGTATCTATTAACACTTCTTTCATAAAAAGCCTTAAAAAAAAAAAAAAAAATCTAATTTAGCCAGTTATAAACCCTTTTGATAGTAGAAGCTGAAGAATAAATTTCCAAATTCTTTCGGACTCCTACTTAGTTATTCCATATCTTAAGAGAATTTCAAAGACCAAATCGTTTAGTCTACCTTATTGCTGAAGCCAAATGGAATCACCCCTGAAGAAAATTTCTCGCAAAGGACTTGTCTCGAAGCTATCTAGTATTCTAGTTGAATCTTCATGCCCACTAATATATTATTAATGTCAAATGTTTTGGATCAGATGACAAGTTTTGTTGCATTGTTTTCATTCTGTCACAAATAAGTTGGTATATAAAACTAGATTAACTTGGCTATCATGCCTATAATGGGAAAAGATATGGAAATGTATTGTTGCTGAATATGCATTAGGAGAAATTATGATTGTGGGATTCATCATTCAGTTCTCAGATTTCTGAAAAGTAATTTACTGTATTATCTCTGCAGTTGCATATTATTATTTCTTCTCAAGCCAGGTGCGGCGTAGTATTATTTATGGAGATCAACCAAGAAACAGGTGAGTGAATTTGTTGTACAGGTCCTCATTTGTCTCTTCTATCATATATGGACTTTCTTGCACTCAACGTTTCAACTAAAAGCTGTATTTTACTGGTGCAATGATGATTTTATAGGTTGGATCTATATTTACCAGAAAATATAGATGGGCCAAAACCAGTTGTTGCTTTTGTAACTGGTGGTGCCTGGATTATTGGGTGAGTTGTTTGAGTACTTGCTACTTTTTCCTTAACAGTACCATTAGTTTGCCGTTTGTGAAATTATTTCCTTCCATTGAATATAATGTGTGTGTAGAAGGATCTGAGCACAAGGATATGATATGTTTATGTGGCTTCTGTTGTGATGATATTGGAAGACATCATTATACTAACATTGCTAAATGTTAACTACGTACACTTTTTTTAGAGATATGGTTTTGATGTCCACTTGGACTTGCTACCTGTGTTTCCACATTGATGGGGAACAAGTATTATCATTTGTGTTGTTGCCAAAAGTAACTGAAAATTATGTTTAATGAGGTATTCTGGAATATAAACCACAGCTTAAGGGACAACTAAATGGAAACAATACATATCATGGATATTGAATTAAAAATCAATTTTAGAGCTCTTGAGATGGGTTTTAAAGGAGCGCTTCATTGGACTTTGTTAATGCAAGGGTTTATAGTAATAATCACTTTTTCCCTTGCCTTTTGACCTTACATATATTGAATGAGATACTGTAGAAGTGCAGATAATGGTATATGTTTCTTTGCTTGATGTGAAGTCATCTATTTTTTCTTTGACATTAAGTCTCTATAGTTTCATACTGATCTAGGTATAAAGCATGGGGTTCTCTTCTAGGCAAACAGTTGGCAGAAAGAGACATCATAGTCGCATGTATTGATTACCGGTAAGTGGTTTCAGTTTAAGCAAGTATCATTTTGCAGTTCATGGTCTTCATTTTACCCATATGTGCTAATGAGTGGGATAGAAGAATACTTGAAGGGAGCATTTCATACTGATAACCTGGTTTCCACTGAAGAAACATGTCTCCAATTTCAATACTCTCTTTTCTTACTTTTTAATTCCTTCCCCCCTCCCTTTTCTTCTTGCTAACCTCCTGAAGACAATAGTTAATGGAAGGGTGAAGATCCTTTTGATTATAGGTTGCTGCATTTGATGAATAACACAAATAACAATTATATGCAAGTCAATAGTGTTGACAGTGAGATAGAATAAGTATGCCCGACTCTCTAAATGAAAAAGCCATAACATTGTATTAGGATAAACTTTTGAGCTGCTGAAAACGTGATTCTTTGATTCTTGTATCTGCTAGCGGCATTCCAAGATCTATAGAATTTGCATCAAACATTATCCCTAGTAGGCAGTAATTTACTTTGTCAGTTTAGTGTGTATGATGATCTCTCAGCTCAATTTCAGCCCCTCTGAATACAAATTTGTGTGGCTGAAGTCCACTTCTTCCATGTTAAGCTTTTTCAAGAACTTGGCATACATTCCATGTTATCTTGCTTGCTTATTTTTGTTCTATTTCCACCCATGTAAATTATATTTGATGGACATGTTCATGCAGAAATTTCCCTCAGGGAACCATCAATGATATGGTAACAGATGCTTGTCAGGGGATTTCATTTATCTGCAACAACATCTCAGAATATGGAGGTGACCCTAACAGGTAATAGGATATTTTTTCTGATTTTTCCATGTTCCATTTACTTAAAACTATGTTTTTAGTTCCTTCATGCTTATTGTGTAGGATTTACCTTATGGGACAGTCAGCCGGTGCACATATTTCTGCCTGCGCTCTTGTGGAGCAAGCAATCAGAGAAGCTAAGGGAGAAGAGAGTATCTCCTGGAGTGTTTCCCAGATAAAGGCATATTTTGGTTTATCTGGAGGGTAAGTTACCATCTTCTCCCCCCCCCCCCCCCCCCCCCTTAAGTTACCAATCTTCTCTCCCCCCCCCCCCCCCCCCCTTTTCCTCTCTTTCCCCCCCCCCCCTTCCTCTCTCTCTCCCAAAAAGCAGAAGAGAGCTCGTTTATGCTATTCCGAATTGTAAAGTTTGTAGTTGATACCTTTTCAGATCTATTGATTCAGAAATTTCCATTTCCTTTTTTGTATAGAAATTTTTGTATTTTGGATATAGAAAAGCAACAAGCATCTTTCTGATTTTTTTTATAAATATTTTTATCAAATCTACCTGTTCAAATAGTTTTGGAACATCCGCAGACCTAATGAAGGACATCTACCTGTTCTCATGTGCGTTAATTCATTTCTGGTGTCATAGTTTTGTTTCTTTTAACACCCTTTTTGTGGACACAAGAATATGAAGGCAACTCCTGTAGTTCATTATGCCAGGAATACAGTCTATGATGTTCTGTATTTCAAATTTGATGGACCATATCCTTACTATTAGTCCACTGATAAGGTCTAGAGGGGCTTTCTAGATGTTGGCTTTTCATCAATCTAAAAAAGAAGCTAATCATGTAATCAAGATAAGTCTGGCATTCGACATTGATTTGTTTTTGCAAACTTTTTAAAAGAAGCTAATCATGTAATCAAGATAAGTCTGGCATTCGACATTGATTTGTTTTTGCAAACTTTTTAATCCACCCATTGATGATTGCAATGTCCTTTATAATTCATGTGGTTCCCTTTTAAACTCTATGCACAGGTACAATTTATTGAAGTTAGTTGATCACTTCAATAATCGGGGCCTTTACCGCTCTCTTTTCTTGAGGTACACACTGGAGAATATCTTGCAGCTTGCTAATATTTATATGCTTATTGTATATGTTAATTTCATTCATACTGTTCGCTGCCTAATATAACCTTTCCGGACATGGCAACAGCATAATGGAAGGGGAAGAATCCTTGCACAAATTTTCTCCTGAAGTTAGAATAAAGGACCCAACCATTAGACATGCTGTTCCACTCCTGCCTCCAATTACCCTTTTTCATGGAACTGCAGATTGTTCTATACCATCAACTTCCAGGTCAGAATTCAATGTCCTTCTTTTCAACATGAATGCCACATCCTTATTCCAAAATGAGGATATATGAAGGATTCATGGCTGACGTACACAAAAATTGATATAATGTATATTTATCATTCATAGGATGACGGATGTTTACAATATGGTTTTTGTGATATAATGATGATATAATGTATATAATATGCACACCAATCCGTCTTGGTATCAACATGTCGAGGAAATAGGAATAGCAGTTTTTAGGCAAAGAGATCTATTTTTGGCTAATGAATAATTTATTTTTACAACTATGGTTTTTGTGGACTTAAAGCTCATTTTGTAAAACGCTTCGAATTAAACGTTCTCTAACCCCTCTCTTCGCATTATTTTCAGATTTTAACAGACTTGTTATTTTGCAGTAAAACTTTTGTAGATACACTTAAAAGGTTAGGAGCTCGGGCTGATCTAATTTTGTACGAGGGAAAAACTCATACAGACTTGTTTCTGCAAGTGCGTTGTCTTTTACTATACTTCTTTGAAATTGGTCATCAAAACTCTTTTCTAGTGCATGTAAAAACCGAACCATCCATCCCTAATTACGAAGTTGTTGATACAGGATCCTTTAAGAGGTGGCAAAGATGAGCTGTTCGATCACCTGGTCGCAGTAATACATGCCGGTGATAAGGAAGCGCTTGCCAAGGATGCTAATCCACCTCAAAGAAGACGCCTCGTGCCGGAGGTGTTATTAAGGTTCGCTGGTCATATTAGCCCTTTTTAGTAGTTAAATGTTTGACACTTAAAGTTGTTTTACATGTGCCATTCTTTTATAGGAACTACACTTGTACTAGTTGAGATGTTGTAGAAGGAACTGTTTAATACTATATAGGTCTTCTTTTTTCAATAACAACTGATGCTAGTCCTGTTTACCTGAAAGCTCAACCTAAAATAATAACACACAATCCTTCAATGTGGTTTGAATATGAAGCTGAGCTCTACTCATTAGAGTGAACTGAACCAGAGTTTTAGTTTTCTAGAACAGATACTTGAAACCCTCATTCTATTACTAATAAAATATAAATCAAATAAGTTGAGTTTGAGTTCAGATTAATAAATTATTATTTAACATTATTTATAAAATAAAAAAGTTTGAAATTATATAATATTTAGGTACTTAATTATGTTCATAAATCACCCGAATCGAATATCATTGTTTCATTTGTACGCGATTCAATTGAAACTGAATTGAATTTAAATATTTTAATTATAAACTGAATGCTAAATGAGCCGAGCAAACAAATACATGCATGATCACAATCTATTTCTAAATCAATCTAAACCGCGGTTTTAAAAAGATTTGATACGGATTTTGATTTTTTTTTTTTTTAAAAAAAAAACATACATGTTCTTTTTATAGTTGTAAGGTTAAAATTGCCTAATAATTCAATGTAGATTATATGTGTGTATATATAACATAATATATATAATTTGTTTGAACTTTGAAATAATGATACTCCATTGAAATTTTTGAGTGTAAATTTCATTTGCATTGATCAGAATATATTACATGGCAATTAAACTATGGTTAATTTATTTTTTAAATAAATCAAACTAAAAATTTTATTAAGAACTAAAAGATAAAAAAAAAAACATCTTGATTTGAAGTATTTGATCAAGTTGACAGCGTATAATATTTGTATCATAGGCGATCAATTGCTCCATTTGGTAGCTATTCATGATCATTATTCGACTTTATGATTTTTCTATAAGTCTGATATGATTACTTTCAAACAAAATACCTAAACAAAATCACCATAATGGTGACAGTGATAACTTAGAATTAAATCTGAGAACATAATTTTAAGATATATAGCAATAATAAATCCTAGTATTTGAACAATAATATTTTAATAGCTTGTTGTAACGGTATAGCTTGTTGTAACGGTTGCAAGGAGTTATCTCACGTTGGAAAAACACAAAGTTTAATTGTGTTTATAAAAACAAGTTGGTTTGGAGGGACAGTTTATTGAAATCAAAATTTTCATAAAATAATATTAAATGTCTAAATAAAGTCTTTTCTTTCACTACTTGAATACAAATAGAAATAAGGAACTGTGTGATTGCTCGTGAAAGAATAGGGAAAGGGGACCATGACCGTTTGTGAAAGAATAAAAGAGAGTTTTAGGTTTTGGGAGAAAGTACTTTCTTATTGTATTGGTTAATATATTTTATAGAAATCATAAATGTTGAAAATTATTTATAAAAAATACATTAATTCACAATATATGTAAACTATATGATTTAACATAACACATGGCTAGTAATATCAACATTTGAATTTTAGGTCAATAAAATATTTAATTCAATGATCTAAAATAAATAATTGAAATATAAAAAATTAATGTGAAATTGAGAATTACATATATATATATATATGTAAAGGTGAAGATTAATTTTTCATGTATTTATAAAATTATATTTTAATACATTAATCATAAATGGTGCTAAGTCGCTCTTGAAAAACTTTAATCAGAAATTTCGTATTTGAACTCTGAATATAAGATACTTTTAAATACTTTAAAAAGAGATTTTTTTTTTTTTTTTTTTTTTTTTTTTTTCTCTGAATATAAAAGGATACTTTTAAATACTTTAAAAAGAGATTGTTTTTTTTTTTTTTTTTTTTTTGCGGGTTTCTAAGCTGAATTTTTTTTTTTTTTTTTTTTTTTTTTTTGCGGGTCTAATCTGAATTAGTGGAATCAGTAAATTTTTTGAACCAAAAACTCACCCAAAGGTTCAAAAACTAAAAATAAAGGGTGCTAGATGGAGGAAGAGGTAGACTCCAAATTTGACCATTAACAACCCCACCGAACAAAGAAAAAAGAGAACGCTATCGCTTTCACTCTCTATCATGCCCATAATCGAGTTTTAGAGCCCTCGTAATAATGGAGTCATCCAAAGTCAAACATTTCGTCTTTTGATTTATACGTACAATTTTATTTTTTATATGTGTTTTAAATCTATTTAACGTACTTTTTTAAACGAATGTAATATCTATAAATTTTAGACTACTCAATATTTAACCTATTTAATATCTATCTATTTATATTATATATAAATATGAAAAACATGGAGAATAATGAGAATTTTAATATTGCTCTCAATGAAATTTAGAATATCTTAAAATAGATTTGATCATAGTCAATTCAAACATTATATTTTATATCAATGAGTATTTGGACGAGTGGTTGGACATTCTTCTTCCTTAGTTGAGATCAAGGGTTTCATTCTCATGGATGGAGCAAATACTCGCTAGGATTACTTTATCTCTTCTTGGACTGACTTGGTGCAAATATAATTTATTTATAGTTCAATGGGGTTGGGATACCTGTGGTTAAAATGAAAAATTACTCTTTTTATATAAATAAAAATATATATAATAAAAAAGAAAAAAAATACTTTTTTTTTGTATGGTTGTAGGAAAAATTATGGGTTTATTTGGAGAGGATGTAACGTTTCTTTTATGTAATCTTTTTTTATTACTTAATTAAATTATTTATTTATTTTTTATTACTTAATTAATTTATTGGATCCTATCATGATTTGCTTTATAATTTTTATTTATTGACTTAACTTTTTTTCCTATCAAATTCAAATTTAATTAAATTATAGTATTTTCAGAGTTATTTTTGAAATTCAAATTGGTAATTTTTTTAATATAATTTATTATAATATGTTGAGTTCTTAAAAGAGTGAGTTTTCTTAAAAAAGAGTTTTATTTATTATAATATGTTGAGTTCTTAAAAGAGTTTTATTCTTAATAAAAATTTATTATTTATTATTTTCTTTTTCGTATTGAATTAATTTATAACTGTTGTCACTTTAATTAGTAAGAGATTTATATCCCCTTGGCCTCCTGATTAAGCATTTTTAATTTTTTAAATATTTTTTCTTTTATATCCTAAATATGTTTAACTTAAAAAAAATAGTATTTATAAAATTGAAAAAAACTATAATTATATATTTCTGTTTTGGGTCATTTTTTGGGTTTCAAGAGTTTGTGTGTATGTTTATATATTCGTTTCTCTAATGCACTGGGTAAGTAATACTATCACTATAGCCAAAATAATTACTATTATTAATTCAAATCATCTTCTCACTTATTTTCTTTTACCTACTGGTAGAAAATAAATTATTATTATTTTTCATTTCTAGTTGTATATAGATATTGATTTGAGATTGAGGGCACATGTTGAGGATTGAGTGATAACTTAATTTTCTTTTTAAGCACCTATCAGGGCTTTAAGAATCTGTATTTATAAATTAGGAACTGAAGGATTAGGTATAATGATTGGATTGAACTTTATTTTTAGACACTTCATCATATAAAAATAGAATCAAGTACATAAAAAATAATATTATAAGTATCTTATAAGAAAAAGTTTAAAATAAATTAAACAACTGTATTTATTTCAGTCTAAAAATTATGTTATAATATTATATAGATAAAAAATTAAAAGAGTATAAAAAATGAAAATATAACGAACATTGTCAACATGCAATGCACGTCATAACAAAGATTAGTATTATATATAATATCATGTAGATAAAAAAATTAAAAGAGTATAAAAAATGAAAATATAACGAGCATTGTCAACATGCAATACACGTCATAAAAAAGATTAGTATTATATATAAAAGTGAGAATGAGGGAGAAATAATGAGATTTTCGATATTATCATTATAAAATTTAAGATATTCTAAAATAACCTTGATCTTAGCGGATTAAAAAATTTTAACCTAAAAATATATATAACACTTCTATAATTTGATTGGATTGTTATTGATTTTTTTTAATAGATAATATATATAGATAATTAAGCATTTCAAAATTTTAAATTTTTACTATTATTATTTTATTTTCTTTACTATATTATTTTATTATGGTCTAATTATATGTCTAATTATATTTTATTTCATTATATTATTATGTAAATTATTAATAATAATTTAATAATTTTTAATAATTTATTATTATTTTAATCTAGTTTCACCGTTATTATTTTAAATAATATATGTAAATATGAGGCAATTGAAAACTTTTATATTTTTTGAATTTATTTTAAATAAATATATTTAGATGATTCTAATTTTGATTTAAAAAGGATATGATTAAATTTTTTTAGTTATAAATTGCATTATAATTTGGTTGACAAAAAATTAAGATAAAAGATTATTATTTTTAAACATCTCAAATTTTATTAGTTATATTGATAAATTCTTTATTTATTAAAGAATAATATTAACAATGTTTTAAATGCTTTCATGATTTTAATTGGCTAAAAAATAAAAATGAAAATGAAAATTTATAAATATTTAATTTAATTTATTAGCTAAAAAATAAAAATGAAAATGAAAATTTATAAATATTTAATTTAATTTATTAGATTGGTTTCTTATTTTATTGTTAAAGTATATTTATTTACCACAAGAGATTATAGTGAAAGTTATTAACAAAAAATGTAAATTAAAATTATAAAACTCATAAGAGAACCTATATGATGATTTTTATAAATATTTGATTTTTCTTTAAAAAAGAAAATGAAAGCAACTAACGTATAATAAAAACTGTATGAATCAATATATTGATATATAACCAAAAAAAAATATTTATTGTATCGATAAAGTGTAATATATTTTAATCACTCAACCTAAATAAGAATTTATACTTTAACATTATATAAATAAATAATTAAACGACTATAAATACTAAGCATACAGTCAACGTGCAATGCACGTCACAAAAAGACTAGTCATATTTAAATGGGTACATATATCAATAGTGGATACTAAAAATATAAATTAGTATCATTGTCGACAAAATCACAAGGAGTAATTTTACTAGTTGAACCATTCTAATCTTGTTTATAAGGAAAAATTATAGTACAATCCATGTGTTCATCCCTGACATTTTTAAAATATACCAATTTGTTCTTATATTTTGCTTTCGTTACACTATTAAGTCATTTTGTCTAATTTTTACATTTTTTCTGTTAAGTCAACAAGCAAACACATAAAGTCAAACGAGAGATACTAAAATATTATATCAAAAAAATTACAGCGCAGTCCCTATAATTTGAAAAATATAACTAGTTTGTCCCTTTGTTTTAAAAAATAAAAAGGGTATTTTCGTCATTTCATAAGATACTTAACAGAAAAGATACAAAATTTAGAAGGAAAAACCTCATAAGTTGACGGAAGTAAATTATAAGAAAATTTTAATATATTTTCTAAAAAACAGAAACGAACTAGTTGTATTTCACAAACAACGGGATTTCACTATCATTTTCCCTATTTATAATTATTCAAACTCATAATAAAAGTTCAGAGCACGTACCAAAAAAAAAAAAAAATCTAACAAAAAAAAAAGAAGAAATGTAACGAAATAAAAATTAATTCCTCAAAATGTAATTCACTATTCTTGATGGAGATATTGGCATGTAGCTTTTTTGTCATTCAGCTTTTTCTCGTTCAATTTTGAAAGTGATTAGTCTGCAATTAATCTTTGGATAGACACTAAATTTTCTAATGATTATCAGAAACTTTTTTTTTTAATTAATGCTTATCAAGAAAATTAAGAACGATTACTGTTTATGTAGCTATAAATAACGCAATAAACAAGACATCAAAGAGCAAAAAAAGTTTAAACCATACCTAAAAAATGAAGGCTTTTTTCATAATATGCATTATCTTGGCAACTGCTCTCTTCTCTCCCTTTCTCATCACTGCAAGAGAATTAACAGAGGATGGTGAGTTTTGAATTTGTGACTGTTATAATATTTTTAACATCACATAGCTTATGCTAACACGTATGTATGTATGGATGTGATTTTTTTTTTTTTGCAGGAAAAGGCAGTGTTACCCTTCCAGTTCCAAAACCCAAAGGCAAGCCAATTGAATGCAGTGGCAAATATTGCTTCCCTTTAAAGCCCCCGCACATTGAAAAGCCTTGCACTAAGCCTCTGCCCCAATGCAATTAATTATCTATCTATCTATCTATGTATATGTGAAATAAATATGTATTTCCCAATAAATTGTTGAGAGGATATCTTTGAACCTAAGCCAAGTCTAATAGGGGATTTCTTTGGCTTTGCAAAATCCTTATTACATGTAATCCCATCTTACAATAGTATATAATAACTCTTAATTCAAGGCAACCATGTTTTCGGAGTAAATATTGTTAAATTCCAATTAATATTAAAATTCACAAATCTTATCAACCATGTTTTCGGAGTAAATATTGTTAAATTCCAATTAATATTAAAATTCACAAATCTTATTGCATGCGTTTGCAGTTATTTTTTTATTTAGAAAAAATATAGAAATTTTGATAAAAATAAAAGGATAAATCAGTCTGAAAAAAGATAACCAGTAGAGGATGAAACTTCCTCTATCCAAAAGAGCTCTTTATAAATAGAAGAGAGAAGTTCTTTAACTAAAGTATGAGCGACGGACATTATTACCAGCTCGACAGTGAATTTTCAAAGGATTAATAATCTATTTCCAACCTCAGAATGAGTGACTTCATATTTCTGTAGCAAGTTAATCGAAGACAATATTGCATGCCATTAGCAGTTTTTACTTTTGATTTATTTCCCCTTAACATATTTATTTATTTCTTCTTTATTTATTCCTCGTATAAGTTGAAAGTACCCCTTTAGGCGTTCATGTCTTCAACGTTGTTTTTCCAGGTTCAGAGGATTGGTTACTTCGCGATGTTCGTGAAGTAACAAATTCTAAGTCATGTTCTTATGGGATTTATTCTCTCTCTTTTGTAATAATAAAAAAAACATATGGTAAGTGTCACCAATAGATATCTGCCAAATATAATCGATATATATATATATATTGTAGTTTCAAATTTATATGTTGTAATCAAAGTTGATGTGGATTAATAGTAAGTCATTCATTTTAATTAATAGAAAAAAAAAAAAAAATGGATGTGCCTTTCGAGAGACAAAACCAAAAACTAATAAATTCTTTGCACAGACAAGTTGAAGTGGCAAAAATTGCTGTCTCAAAGGACTTGTCAAAAGTAGTAGCAAAGTCAAGAAATGGATAACAAAAGGTGCCATTATTTGTTGGAGCAGTTGATGACTTGATGTGTATATAATTATAACACATGTGCCATAATGTGATAGCGAAATCAAATAATTCAGTGATGCATTTTTCTTTTCTAGTGGAAATTCAGTGATGCATGGTTTTGGAATTATGTGGTATATTGTATCTTCTAGCTATAAATCTTTATCATTTAATTATTATTATTGTCATCTTCATTTTGTGGATATTGTCATCTTCATTTTGTGGATGCGACATGCAATTCAAATTTGACGACTTCTGAAAATTGACATGCATGGCTGCCATTATTGCTGCTATTATTATTTTTAATTACAATCTCTTTTTTGTTTTTTTCTAACCAACAATCCATATTTTCGTTTCTATATATCGTTTTTCTTTATTTAATTTAATTTTTTTTCTAATAATTTTCATAAGTTGAATTTAATCTCTCATATATATAATAGTTAATAGATCTTGAGTATTTTTAATATTCTCTTAGTGCGGTTATTAATTTCTCTTCTTTCATGCGGTTCTTTTTCATTATTAAAGATTTTTTATCTTATTAATGAAGTCTGATAGTGCGGCTTGTTCTTCCATTAAAATTTGGTATATTAACCTCTTTTATGGGTGAAAGTTATAATAAATTTTCCAAAAAAACAATGTTGGGACAATATTGTGAAATGTTTCTTTTGTTGTACTATTTGAAAATGAAATAGTTTTCATCCGAAAGATTAATCTTTTCTGCCAAGATGAAGAACGTCTTTAAACATAAGATTTCTATATTTGTATTTCTTATTATGATGTACTTAACTTATATTCATTATTAATGAATTGTTAAGTTAAAAAAAAAAAAAAGAAAAAAGGAGTAAAAGCCAATTTGGTCCCAATTATTTAGTAGTGACAAAAAAAATGGTCAGGATTTGACCTTTTGAACCAATTTTAACCTTTGAAACTTATATAAAAATTAATTAAAAACGATCCGAATTTCACATTTTTAGGATAATTTAACTCTTGAACTTGTTTTGATTTTTTATAATTAATAATTTGATTTAATTACATTTAATTGATTTTTTTTATCCCATTTTTATCTTACACTAAAAAACACAAGATCAAAATTTCTTAATTACTTAAGAATATACAATTTAAAATTCCATAAAACCAACATTATTGTAATATAATAAATTTATAACATATGCATATATACTTTAACTTATCAACACTGAAAAAATTAGTAGATCTTTCATAAGCGTATAACTCAACAATAGAGGTAATTTTAAAATGTTCAAAATTAAACATATTTATAAACTCAATTATCAATCAAGGTTAAGAAGAGATAACAATATAACTTTATATATCATTTTTTTATATTTTTACAATTAATTTTAATTTTTTACTAACCAATTACAATTTTAATAAATGTCGTATATAATAATTTTCATATGTTTTAAATACAATGCAAGAATTAGAGGTTAATTGATTCAAAATTTCAATATTTGAAACTTTTTTAATTTATTTTAAATAAGTTCATCGAGGTAAATTGATCTAAAATTATTAAATCTAATTTTTAAATTTATTTTTAAACAAATTTGAAGGCTAAATTGGTCTAAAAGTTCAATATAACATTTTTTTATTCCTGTTAACAAGTCAGAGATAAATTAGCCTTTTATTCTAAAAAAAAATAAAAAAAGAAAAAAGTTTAGATTCAAATTTTGATTTGGAAAATGTCATTTCCAAAAAGCCAAGATGAGATGAACAGTTTTCCAGGGTCTTCAGCAGTAAAAATCTAATTTAGCATTGAAATCACTCCCAAATTATTTAAATTATAAAACTATTTTAAAATTAATTATAATTTTTGTTTTGCTGTTCAGTATTAAATAATGTTTATGACAAACTTTAATTTCATTTTAAGTGCGAACTTTAATTTAAATTTTAAATATATGTAAATACTTGACAATCTAAATTAAAAATTGAAAAATATTGACATTAATTTAATTGCAAAAATTCATATCATGATGGTATCACAGTTTAAGTTCAAGCATATCATATGAATATGTTGAATCTAAATTCTATACTTCTTATTATACTCAGCAAGCTGCACTCAATAATTTGATGTAAGGAAATGGATTATATAGTTGGTATTGTTCTTTAATAGTATATATATATATATAGTTGGTTTTGAAACTTGCCCTTTTAGGTTCTAAAATTTTTATCTTTATATATATATATATATATAGTTGGTGTTTGAACTTTGCCCTTTTTAGTGTCTAAAATTTTATCTTTATTGGTTAAAGTGTCTGCATATATAAATAATTTTTTCAATTAAGTACATTTGATTAATTTTTTTTTATTGAAAAATTTAAATAGATAATTCTTTTCCACATAAATATTTATTTTTTTATTTTATTGTCTTATAGCTCTTTTTTTAAAAAAGAAAGACAAAATTTTTTTATACTAATTTGATCTCAAAGTAAAATAAAAAGAGAGAGACAAAATTTTTTATACTATTTTAGATTGGTTGGCTTCTCATGCTTTGTTTCTTGGCCTTGGAGTCCATCCTCTTGATTATCCTCCTGCAGATATTTTTTCTCTGATTGTTGATGTCTTGCTTCTAGGCATTCTATCGCCTCTTGTAGCTCCTCTTGAGCCTTAGAGCTCCCTTTAGTCCACAAAAAAAAGAGAGACAAAAATGATAATATAAAAAAAATACATAGTGAAAAATAAAGAAATAATTCTTTTCAATTTTCCGACTAAATACATCTAATTGGCAATTGCTTTCAAAGAAATGGTAGGCCTTTCTGCCATTTAGTCTAACAATAGTTTTTATTAAATCTATTTTATTAATTTTGACACTTTTTGATACTATCTCCGTTCCATAATACTTGTCTCATTTGAATTTCACGTTTCTTAAAAAATTCATTAAATTTGTCGAACTTACAATAAATTATTGAGTAAATTGACTATATTTTTCCATAATTTAATACTAATTCTTTAAGAAAACCATTAAATTGAAGTAATAATTATTGGTCATATATAAAGGGAAATTGAAGTAATAATTATTGGTCATATATAAAGGGTAAACATGGAAACATTTATTACTCATTGAAACCACAAATGTGACAAATATTTTAGAACAAGTTATTTTTTCAATTTTGACAAGTATTATGAAATAGAGGTAGTATTTTTTTTTTTCCATTTAGATAACACTTTTAGAAAATTAAAACAGTATTAATTATTTTATTTTTACTTTACTATTTCCTCCATTGGAACTAAATTAAGTCTTTTGAGTATTTTAAGGAGCAATAGATGATGTTTTTCTAATTTTACACTTATATTGATTAGTATTAATGATAATTTAATCAAATTACCTTTAGTTTTGTTATACTCTAAGAGAATTAATTGTTTCATTAATTCTTGTGTAAAAACCTTGAACGATAGGGAGTATTATTTAGATATTTTCACCTAATATTTTCTTTTCTTTTTTTTTTTTTAATATCGAGGCAGTGTTTAGCCCTTGGCACTGACTAAGGGAGAGATGTAGTTCCTACTTTCTAACTCGGGTCTATGTAAATGCCTCTTCCATATAGACCGGGAAAATTTTTAATACACATGAGGTTATGATCCATAAGCATTGGCGGGCTTAAGTCCAAGCAGGGTTGATTATCGGTTTGGATGCCCCCAAGAATCGAACCATAATTTTATCTTTTAATTATAAAACATTATTTAAAGGGTAATTTAATTTATTATCCTTATTTCGTTTTCTTAATTTTCATGAAAATGAAGTAAATGTCAAAATTAATTGTAGGGAATTTAATATCATTTATTTATTACTATAAATAAGAGTGAGTAGAGAAGAAGGAAATTGCAAAGTGGCAAAAGAATTCAATCATTCAATCATCTCTCAAAATAAGTCCCTTGCCAATTATATGGCATTTCTCTGTTGCCAATCTCTCTCTTCTCTTCCTCTTTAACCACAGCTCGCGGAATTACACGACAACTGCAGGTATATTATTCACAAACACACACTATTCTCACACACTATTCTTACTGATAATAGTAATATAATTTCCATTTGCTTAATTATGTTTCCTAAATTTAAGAATTATCCTTAATTAAAATTCTTTGTTAATCTCAATCATGAAAATGCTGCTACCTTAATGACTTACAACTTCTTCAAACTAAAAAAAAAAAAAACCCCTTTGACAATTAGGTACTTTTGTAATATGAATTACCAACAAGTTTTGATTTAACGATATTGAAGTCTAGGGTTTTGAGTTCTCTGAGTCCAAAAATTTCAGTTGAACTAAAATTTATGTCCGTGGATTATCTAATTTCGTTATAAATAGATTTATTGTTAACTTGACGGAAAAATAAATTTAACGTGTTATTTATATACATGTGAACGTTTTAGGTGAAGTAAGAAGTGATGGCATAATCCCAGATGGGTACAAGCCTCGACCAAAGAAAGGGTATCCATACAAACCTTATCCAAAGAAAGGGTATCCATACAAACCTTATCCACGGAAGAAAAAGCCACCACCCAAGAAGAAGAAGCCACCGACGTAAAAGCCTTGTTATCAATACAAGTCCCATGCTGATTTCTGTACTGCTTATGAAACAAGTAGTTCTTGAAAATGGATTTCTGTACGTGTGTTGAGAACTTTAATTTGTGGCTTAATTGCACTTTTTTAGTACTTATGTGTTGTTTGTACTTTGATTATAAAAAAAAGACTATTAATGCAATAAAATTAGCCTATCCAAGCCTATCCATATATATTTAAGTATATGGATTATTAATTTGATTTCCATTATATTAATTCCATTTTCAATAATGAAAGTTCCTTTCTTATCTATCTTAAGAAATGGAGTGTATGTGTATATCTAGTGGTTGAGCTTGGTGAATTTTTGAAACGGAGTGTCAGTGGCCCTAGATATATTGGTGTGTTGAATGAATATGGTAGAATACTGGAGGAACTGACACTGAATGCCTAAATGGTTGTGGACCATAACATGTGGCATGAATGACTGAAGGGAGTTTTGAAGGTTGGTCAATGGTAGCTGACGTTGAAGTTTCATCCGAACTTGCAGACATCCTATCAAAAGATATTGGTTGCAAATTCAAATCCTTTCTTTGGTGCAAAATTCCAAATCCTTTCTCTTTCCAAAATAATATCATATGATAGGATTTTTTTTAAAAAAAAAACTTTAACTTTTTTATATTAATTGTATGAAATTTTGAAATACACATATTGATATACAGGCATATGATATACATCCAATAAATGTTATTTAATATTTATATAGACTAGCAAAAATATAGAATCATCTCCAGCACGAAGGTCTTTCTCCTAATATGCATACTCTTGGCCACCATTTTCTTTTCCCCTTCTTTCTACGGCTAGGGAATTAGCTTGCTAAGATGGATAAGAACCAGCTAACTAGCTAGCTACTTTGTATTTCCACAATTTAAAATATTATTGTTACCGGATTCTTATGATTTATGATGTGAATCTTACGATTCGATTCAATTTTCATGTTAAACAATTCGAATCTTATGGGTGAATCAGTATTGATCACAAATCTTACAATTCAAGTCGATTCTCATATCCGATAATTTTCTTACCAAACAAATCTATCGGAAAAGTCAATATAAGTCAATATAGAGAAAAGAAGCAAGAGAATATAAGTATATTAGAAGAAAAAGATACAAAAGGGCTTCAATTTGGAAATGATAATGAATAAATATGGATTTGGATAAGAAATTTTAATGGCTTTATATTTTTACTTTGTTTTATATTAAAATTTTTAACTTGATAGTTTGATATTTTAAACTTGCAACACACAAGTCATTAAGTTTTACTTGCAAACACAACAAGTCATATAAGTATCTAACATGCAAGTAGATTATTACTTTTATTTAATTTATTAATTTATTATAACAGCTATACAATTGCTTGGAAAAATCTATCTATGGATTTACTGTGGAGTCACGTTGTAATTGATCAAAGTCTTTGGCTTTATATATTTTTTAACATATAGTTGCAAATAATTGTGTATTTATTGTGGAAACAAGTTGTAATTGATTAAGTCTTGGCTTTATATATTTTTTAACATATAGTTGCAAATAATCATGTTATTACAATTCAAATTTGGCTTGCTGATTTATCACTATAAATAAGAGTACTCGAAGAAACACATAATCATCTCCAACATGAAGAAGGCCTTTCTCCTGATTTGCATTCTTTTGGCTACCATTTCCCTTTCCCCTTCTCTCACTTCAGCTAGGGAATTAGCTGCTATTGGGAAAGGTAAGAACTAGCTACCTAGCCAGCACTTTCTTTCAATAAATTTTTCATCTGCTAAGCAAATTCAAATATAAAATTTTCTTATATCGTCTTTTACGCTTTACTCCTAAAATGTTTTTTTAATAATATTTTTTCATTATTAAACATGTTTACAGGCCAAGACTGAATTTTAAAATGTAAAATATATATATTTTTTTAAATTGAAGTAATAAACGTGTTTTTTGTAATAGTGCTGTTAAATTTATAATAAATATATGCAATGGAGAGTTGAAATTCTCTTTTTTAATAATTTTTGATGTATCTACCGACATGGATTAATATCAGATGCAGGAATACCAATAAGGTGGAAGTGGCCAGGTAAGCCATTTGGATGCCTTGTGAAGAAAAATTGTCTGCCTCCAATCCCTCCCATAAAAAGATTCCCTCCCAGAAGAAGAATCTATGCCCCACCTCCCCCCCGTTGAGTTCCTTACAGAAATAAGGGTTGTGATTCTCATATTACGAACCCTTGAAAATATATATATATATAGACGAAGTCATCTTCATTTTATACATAATAATAAATAAATAAAAACAAATGTTATGGCCAATCAAATATGGTTTGGTTCACTTATATGAGGAGTGAGAAGTTTTAAGTTCGAGTCATTTTGGCTACAAGTGTTTTTATTATTTTAATGAGTCAAGGGGAGGGTTACCCCTATTGTGTAGCCCACAGTGTTATTTTAGTCTATTGTCAACTATACGTCAAGACTTATATATGTATGCAGATGTTATCTTAGAACATTGCCTCTTCTTATATGAAGTTTTTTTATTTATTTTTTTTATTTATTTATTTACCTTGTGTTGCATGTCGTTTACATATTTATAATTTTACCTTCACATATATAATTTGTTATCATATGATCAACCGTTTATATTATTAAACTCTCTCACAGTATAATCATATTTTAAATTGATTGGATAATTCAAATTGAGGTGAGAATTAATGGTTTAAATTGAAAAATCAAATTGTTTTTTGATTTGCGCAATAATTCTTAAACCTTGAACGAAATCATAATACTCAAAAGAAATTTAATATATTTTTTTTTAATTTTTAATAAATCAAAGGTGTAAATAAAAAATTAAAAAAAATAATTCTTAAGGAGTGAAAATATTAAATTCCAATTTTTGGATATCTAATACAATGAATTTTTTTCTTGGTGGATAGGTAAAATATTTTCTTTTGTTTAATTTAACAAAAAAAAAAAAATGTATTCATTGTTTTCTGGCAAAACCATCCTCTGGACACCTATTAACAGGTAAAAAATAAATACATAAAAATATGCAAAGATAATTATATAAGAGATTTTATTAGTGTGAAATTTACAATTGAAAATAAACAAATTATATATGCATTGCCTCTTCCAATGATTTAATAAATTTGTTAATTGGATATCCAATTGGGTATTTCAGCATTATTAAAAGGTAATAATACTGCAATATACTTTAAATTGTATATTAAAAGGTTTTGAATATCTTGAAATATCGATCGTAAAATTAGAATGGTGGGACTATCAAAATTTTAAGTTGCTTACGTATACTCTCGAGATTTTAGAGAAATCAAAGCTCACGTAGTTTCTAACCTATTTGTAATCCAATTTTAAACCTTCTGGGTACCTTAGTTCGTTATTTCCATCAACCGGTTGATGTTAAACCCTTAGTCTCGGGAATTTGGTGAAATAATTTCAAAAATTTTTCATTTAGGATATCCTTCAGAATTATATTGTCGGGATGCAATCAAAGATGTCATTTGTAGGGATTTAAATGAATATGTGTTTTTTCCAACCTTTTCCTTACTATTTTATAGAAAAATAATATGTAACTTGGATAAACTGAAATAAAAAATTAGAGAGAAATAATAGAGATTGGAATTTGAGGAAATTAATTCACAATAATTTGGCAAATAATTAGAAATTTGGATTTTGAAGAAATTATTTTTCAATATTTTGGAAATATTTTGGACAATAATTTATGAATGAAAATCAAAGAGATTGTAAAGTAGAGAATAATATAGAGTAGATATTATTTTGTGTGAGGGGATTGTAAATGCAAGGAAGTATTTATAATAAATCCAAAAAATTATTTTTTCACAAATACTTTTGAAACTAGCCGTTATGTAGCTATTTATAGCTGTTAGGAGGGGTAATTTGGAAATTTCATAAAACTATTTGAAAAATAAAAAAAATGCTAGAACCGGTTGGAACCGCTAGTTCGCACCGTCGGTTCCGGTCGTTTAACATAAAATTCAAAATCTATTAAATCAAAAATCTTGATTTTCAACTATTTGGGCTATAAACACTAAAAAATCTTAACTTGAGTCCAAAATTTTGCGAGTTGGGTCCAAGACCAAGTATATTGTCGGAATTTTCGATTTGAGAACAGTTAAATCGGGTCAAAGCATTGATTTGGATCAAATCGATTAGAATCGAACCGGAATGGCCCAGAAGTTTCTGGACCCGCCTCTCTTCTTTTTCTTTTCTTCTCTTCCTCTTCTTCTGCGCGCGACCTCGTTGCCTCTCCTCCTCTTGTTTTTCCGACCACCAGAACCAGCGCCTCCTGTTTTTCCGACCACCAGAACCAGCGCCTCCTCGCCGCGCCTCCTTGCCACGTCGCCTCCTCACTGCAGTAGCTCCGGTCCTCCTTCCTCTCTCCCATTTTGTTGCTGGCATACACAGTGGTCGCAGGAGATTTGCGAGTTGGTGATCGGAGAATCGCGTCGCCTCTCTAGCTCGACTCTCCGGCGATCGATCGACTTCATTTGCATCCTTCATCGACGGCGAGCACCGAACGTAGGAGGGATGCAGTGGTCGGCGTTGGAATGGACGCAGAAGACGACAGTGACACCAGACCACTGCCAAGCCCGGTTCGACTGACTGGAGTGCTGATCTCGCGAAACGGAGGCCAAAAACTGACTCTGGATGAAAAATCGAGCCAAATGGTGTGGAGAGCATTCGGTTCTGAGCGGCCACGACTTTTCGGCCACCGTGGACGGCGGACGGCGGCGGAGGTCCGGTGACCGGATCGCGATACTCCGGCGAGGCCCGTGAGACAGAATTCTCTTCTCTTCGCGCCGATCATGGAATCGTGACCTGATTCTTAATTGGTACGTTCTAAGACCAATTTCCCCATTTTCGGTATAAATTCTAAACTTAGTAATTATTACTTAATTAAATTGAAGTTGAATGAATTAATTCATATATTATATATGGAGCTAGGTTGAGAAAGGACCCATTTATTTTGACGAACCAACCAACTATTTGAATAATTGAGGACATTTAGTAAACTATCATAGGAATTGAATATATTTAAGGCGAGTTGAATTACTTCAGTAGATGATTCATGGTAGATGTATTCATGAAATTTTAGTTTAATTGAAGCATTTGTTCTTAGTGTCTAATTTAAAATTTGATAAAGGTATAAATATGTGATTGTCACCTTTAAGCAAGGAATGGATGAAGAAATGAAGGTTTGATAAAGAGTTCTCTAATATATAAAGGCTAGGTAACTATCAAACGAGGATGACTGAATTTAACTTATTGATATAAGTTTTGTTTATAAATTATTTGATAATTGGTTAGATAACAATTAATAATATCGTTGGAACATGCTTGGAGGTTATTATAATTCGTAAATTAATTGGTGCATGTGGACATGGTTGTTTTGAAAGGAGAATGAGAATAAAGCTGATTGATTGCCCGAAGGATGGGCTGTGTGCATTGATTGATAAATATATAATAATATTGTGATATTTAAGCAGGTAGATAGTCATACTTTTAGGGGAGGTGCTGTCGAAATTTCCAAATTTCGATGAGAATCTAGACTAGTTTTAATTAAAATAACTAATAAATAAGCTTATTCTAGATGAATTCTATAATTTGATACATAATAAATAAGTGCTTTAATTAATTTATCATTATCATTATTATTCAATTTATTATTCAAATAATTTTTATTTATTTTCATTATCATTGTTTATTATTATTATTATTATTTATTTTATCATTGTTGTTTATTGTTAATGATTATTTATTTAATTATTTATTTGCATTTGAGAATGAAAATGTCTAAATTGTGCATTGCATTATGATGTTCAACTGATCAATATGTCTGCATTTAATTGCAATGGTTTGGAATTAATTGTGTTTTGTGATAGATGCTATGCTTTGGTTTGTGTGGAATTGGGATGAAGTTGGGTCACCATGGGTTTTTGTGAGAACCTCGTTACCGTTATATGGATCCTGATTATGATTAACCGTTTAGCCGGGTAAATGGGAGATCGGCTCCCCCGTGTGGCACCTTAACCCGTTACCGTTACCGTTAACCAAGGAATGGCCTGCTTTGTGTTGCGCACCTGAAAAATCTAGATCTTGATTGCAGCCCCGCAAGGGTGGCCTCCTGTTGTGTGGTGCATGATGATCCTAGATGGATGAGCCACCCGAGCCTCCTGTTAGTATGGAAAAGAAAAGAGAGAATGGAAAAACAATGAGAGGGCTGGTCAAGTGAAGATTAAACCGGTCAGCCAGAATGGGGGATCGACTCCCTGGTGCACACGTGAGTGGATGAGCCATGTGGGAGGACGGCTTATCGGGGTTTCGGTGATGCCATTGACTAATTTCCACGTGATGTAATTATTTGAATGTGAAATTAATTGTGAGTGCTGGTGATATGCCATTTGTGTGACTGACTGTATGAGCATATAACTAGTCGGATGACTAGATTGATATATTTACACATTTGTGTGAGTGTGAATGTGTGTGTTGTGCAATAGTAGTTACTCCTTAGAAAGCTCACATATCTTGTTCCAATTTTTTCAGGAAGTAAGTTTCTCTTTAATTCGGTTAAGCTGAATATTCTTTCGCTGGGGGCTAAAAAGAAAATTTTCTGTTTAATAATTATTTTGCTATGTATCTATATGTATAAAAATATATGTATATCTATCCAGTTAGTGACTCCGCAGTTTTGTTCCGCAGTTGTAGAATTTACTTACATTTAGTCATGTATTATCATAGACGAAATTATTCTGTGAGCCCATATTAAAAATGTGATGTATTGTTAATTGGACCCGAACTGTGGAATGTGGTAGCTGATAAATTTGGGCCGAGATTTAAAAAAATCTTGAGGTTTATTTTCCTATAAATTATAAATATAGGCTGAATGTTTAAAATTATATTAAGACAGTAAATTTTTAGTGTTTCAGGCATAATACGGGCCTCGGGGGCTTTAAGCTTACTTAGGCCCTAGTGCCAGTCCGGCCTATGGAATCGGGTCGTGACAAGCTCTCGCCTACCATGAACACAAGAAAAACATGAATACTTCTAAAATGGCATCTAAATTCCAATTAAAAAAAATCTGGTTCCATAATTGATTTATCAGTTGGGTATTGACATATCATATCGATAAATTAAAATGAATTTTTTATTTTATTTTAATTGGAAGACCCTAATGAGCGAATAATTATGGGTTACATAAGGTATCCCACTTCTTAAATACATCAAATTGATAAATATTATTAGAATCCAAAGGACTCCTAACACATAATTAAAGAGATTAATCAGACCAACGTTAAATAACAAAATGAATGTTCATTGTTTTAAAGCTCCAAAAATCATAATATAGATGAGAATTTTGTTCTTACACATTAACATAAGAAGGAAGGAAAAAAAACATATTTATTATTTCAATTTTAATATAAATAAATTATTGAATTCTTCTCATTAATTGTTTGGTATTTCCTTCCTAAATTCCATTCGACCTACAGACTATAAATAGGAATATCTATTTTTAATTACTATTCTATTTCATTTGTGTAATTTCGCTTAGTTTTTATGATTTTTGGAAATATTTAGAACTTAAAGGCCAAATTTCATAGATGATTCTTGATTTGCCTTGACTAACAGAAGTCAAGTTTAATTAAAGTTTATTTATTTTTTTATTATTTTCAAAAAATATTTTACCATCCATGAGACATATAGTCGCAATGTATCAATTTACCGGTAAAGTGGTTTTCCATTTTAAGCAAATATCATTTTGCAGTTCATGGTCTTCGTTTTAACCCATAAATGCTAAATGAGTGGGATAGAAGAGTACTTGAAGGGAGCATTTCATACTGGAATAACCTGGTTCCACTGAAGAAACATTCTCCATTTTTCAATACTTTATTTCTTAACTTTTTAACTTCCTTTCCCCCTTTCTTTTCTTCTTGCTAACCTCCTTGAAGACAATAGTTAATGGAAGGGTCAAGATCCTTTTGATTATAGGTTGCTGGTTGCTGCATTTGATGAATAACACAAATACCAATTATATGCAAGTCAATAATGTTGACAGTGAGATAGAATAAGTATGCCCGACTAGATCCTTTTGATTATAGGTTGCTGCATTCGATGAATAGCACAAATACCAATTATATGCAAGTCAATAATGTTGACAGTAAGATAGAATAAGTATGCCCGACTCTCTAAACGAAAAAGCCATAGCATTGTATTAGGATAAACGTTTGAGCTGCTGAAAACGTGATTCTTTGATTCTTGTATCTGCTAGTGGCATTCCAAGATCTATAGAATTTGCATTAAACATTAACCCTAATAGGAAGTAATTTACTTTGTCAGTTTAGTTTATGATGATCTCTCAGCTCAATTTCAGCCCCTCAATTTCAGCCCCTCTGAAAACAAATAAGCTTTTTAAAGAGCTTGGCATACATTCCATGTTATCTTGCTTGCTTATTTTTGTTCTATTTTCACCCATGTAAATTATATTTGATGGACATGTACATGCAGAAATTTCCCTCAGGGAACCATCAGTGATATGGTAACAGATGCTTGTCAGGGGATTTCATTTATCTGCAACAACATCTCAGAATATGGAGGTGACCCAAACAGGTAATAGAATATTTTTTCTGATTTTTCCTTGTTCCGTTTACTTAAAACTATGTTTTTAGTTCCTTCATGCTTATTGTGTAGGATTTACCTTACGGGACAGTCAGCCGGTGCACATATTTCTGCTTGTACTCTTGTGGAGCAAGCAATCAGAGAAGCCAAGGGAGAAGAGAGCATCTCCTGGAGTGTTTCCCAGATAAAAGCATATTTTGGTTTATCTGGTGGGCAAGTTACCATCTTCCCCTCTCTCTCTCTCTCTCTCTCTCTGTCTCTCTCCCAAAAAGCAGAAGAGAGCTAGTTTATGCTATTCCAAATTGTAAAATTTGTAGTTAATACCTTTTCAGATCTATGGATTCAGAAATTTCCATTTCCTTTGTTGTATAGAAATTTTTGTATTTTGGATATAATTTTTGTATTTTGGATATAGAAAAGCAACAAGCATCTTTCTGATTTTTGATAAATTAATATTTTTATCGGATCTACCTGTTCAAATATTTTTGGAACATCCTCAGACCTAATGAAGGACATCTACCTGTTCTCATGTGCGTTAAATTCATTTCGGAGTGTCATAGTTTTGTTTCTTTTAACGCCCTTTTTGTGGACCCAAGAATATGAAGGCAACTCCTTTTGTTCATTATGCCAGGAACTCAGTGTATGATGTTCTGTATTTCAAATTTGATGGACCATATCCTTACTAGTAGTCCACTGATAAGGTCTAGAGGGGCTTTCTAGATGTTGGCTTTTCATCAATCTAAAAAAGAAGCAAATCATGTAATCAAGATAAGTCTGGCAGTTGACATTGATTTGTTTTTGCAAACTTTTTAATCCGCCGATTCATGATTGCAATGTCCTTCATAATTCATTGGTTTCCTTTTAAACTCTATGCACTGGTACAATTTATTGAAGTTAGTTGATCACTTCAAAAATCGGGGCCTTTACCGCTCTCTTTTCTTGAGGTACACACTGGAGATATCTTGCAGCTTGCTAATATTTATATGCTTATTGTATATGTTAATTTCATTCGTACTGTTTGCTGCCTAATATAACCTTTCCGGACATGGCAACTGCATAATGGAAGGGGAAGAATCCTTGCACAAAGGGAGGCCTAATATAACCTTTCCGGACATGGCAACTGCATAATGGAAGGGGAAGAATCCTTGCACAAATTTTCTCCTGAAGTTAGAATAAAGGACCCAACCATTAGACATGCTGTTCCACTCCTGCCTCCAATCACCCTTTTTCATGGAACTGCAGCTTGTTCTATACCATCAACTTCCAGGTCAGAATTCGATTTCCTTGTTTTCAACATGAATGCCACATCCTTATTCCAAAATGAGGATATATGAAGGATTCATGGCTGAAGTACACAAAAATTGATATAATGTATATTTATCATTCATAGGACGATGGATGTTTACAATATGGTTTTTGTGATATAATGACGATATAATGTATATAATATGCACACCAATCCGTCTTGGTATCAACATGTCCAGGAAATAGGAATAGCAGTTTTTAGGCAAAGAGATCTATTTTTTTGGCTAATGAATAATTTATTTTTACAATATGGTTTTTGAACAATAATATTGTAATAGCTTGTTGTAATGGTTGTATCTGAGGAAGAAAGAGTTATCTCACGTTGGAAAAACACAAAGTTTAAATGTGTTTATAAAAACAAGTTGGTTTGGAGGGACAGTTTATTGAAATCAAAATTTTCATAAAATAATATTAAACATCTAAATAAAGTCTTTTCTTCCACTCCTTAAATACAAATAGAAAAAAGGAACTGTGATTGCCCGTGAAAGAATAGGGAAAGGGGATCCTGACCGTCCATGGAAGAATAAAAGAGAGCTTTAGATTTTGGGAGAAAGTACTTTCTTATTGTAATTGTTGGTTAATATATTTTATAGAAAGCATAAGTGTTGAAAATTATTTATAAAAAATATATTAATGCACAATATACGTAAACTATATGATTTAACATATAACATAGCTAATAATATCAACATTTGAATTTTAGGTCCATAAAATATTTAATTTAATGATGTAAAATAAATAATTGAAATATAAAAAATTAATGTGAAATTGAGAATTAAATATATATGTAAAGGTGAAGATTAATTTTTTATGTATTCATAAAATTATGTTTTAATACATTAATCATAATCATAAAGGGTGGTAAGTGACTCTCCAGAGTCATTAATCAGATATCTGTGTTCAAGCCCTGAATATAGTCCTTTTAAACATTTTAAAGAAAGCATTTTTCTCCTTCTACGAATCTAATCTAAATTAATAGGATCAGTAAACTTTCGAACGCCTGACAGTTAAAAAACTAAAAATAAAGGGTGCTAACGGAGGAAGATGTAGAGTCCAAATTTGACCATTAACAACCCCATTGAGCACAGAAAAAAAAAAAAAACGCTGTCGCTATCACTCTTCATCATGCCCATAATGAGTTTTAGAGTAGCCATGATTCCGGAACCGACGGTTTCAATTCCAAAAAAATTGAAATTGGAGCCGAATCAAAAGTTTTCAGTTTCAGTTCAGGTTCTGGTTCCGGTACGGTGACAAAACCAACTGTTCCGATCGATTTTTCGACAAATCGCATAATTTTAAATTTTGAATTTTGAAGACCAATTTTTAAAATTTAATAAATTTGTAAAAAAATACACCTAAAAAATTAAAAAATACTTCAATTAAATATATTTTTTTAAAGATTTTAACTTAATTATTTTTTAAAAAAAATTCTTTAACTGAATTTCACAATAAAATTTAAAAAAAAAACACAAAATTGACAGAATCAAAGCCTCCATTCTTGATTTTCCGGTGCGTGGTAAAACTGGCCCAAGAAAATTTGTGGCGGCAGAAGAAAGAGAAAGCGAATGGAACGGATACGAAAGAGTAGTGGGGTGCCACCAACTTGGCAACTTGGAGGATTAATTACTTTATATAGGGGAATAGGTAGGGGAGGGTGCCCCTGGAAGAGAGTTGATAAAGGGCACATGCATTTGGGGTTTGGTGCCCCTGGAAGAGAGTTGATAAAGGGCACATGCATTTGGGGTTTTTCGGGATTTTAAATTTTTAATGAAGTGTTGTCCTTTGGTTGGGACAGGGTGGCACTGGCTTTGGCGTATTTGGTGCCTTACAGCTGTTGCCAACGGTTTCTTTGGCCTTTCTTATGATAAGAATGGACTCATCCAAAGTCAAACATTGCGTCTTTTGATGTAGACGTACAATTTTATTATTTATATGTGTGTTTTATAGCCCTCGTAAGAATGGAGTCATCCAAAGTCAAACATTTCGTCTTTTGACGTATACGTACAATTTTATTATTTATATGTGTTTTAAATCTATTTAACGTACTTTTTAAACGAATGTAATATCTATAAATTTTAGACTATTAAAAATTTAACCTATTTAATATCTATCGATCTATATCTATCTATTTATACAATATATAAATATAAAAATAAAGAGGATTAATGAAATTTTTGATATCGTCCTTAATAAAATTTTAAATATCCTAAAATAACATTAGTTGTAACATATTGTTATACGAATGGATATTTAGATGACTGGTTCGACATTCTTCTCCCTTAGGTTAGGTCGAGGGTTTGATCCTTATGTATGGAACAAATACTCGTTGAGAGCATTTTATCTCTTTTTGGACTGAACTGGTGCAGTAGGATTTAGTTCTAGTCCAATAGGCTCGGAATACCTGTGGTTAAGACAAAAAAAAAAAGAAAAATTATATTTTATTATTTGGTTGGATATAATTTCTAAAAATTATTTTTTAAAATAAATAAATAAATATATAATAATAATAATAAAAAATATATTAATAATAAAATATAGTATACTCCTTCTTTTTTTGTCATGTTTTTATAGAAAAATTAATAAAGTTATTGGAGAGGAATCATAACGTTTTTTCTTTTGTGGTTAATCTTTCCTAATATTCTAATATTATTAATTTAATTAATTTTTTTATTACTTACTAATTATATTGGAAATTCTAGCCTAATATTTTGCTGTTTGTATTTATTTATTGACTGGCCTTCTTTTTTCCCCATCAAAATTGAAAATTCTTAATTAAAAATTAACGCAATTTCCAGAATTATTTTTTTGAAATTCCAAAAATTGGTAATTTTTTTAATGATAATTTATTAGTAATTGGGAGGTTCTTAAAAGAGGATTTTGATTCTCAGTATGTCGTAGAAGTGTATATAGATGTTGGTTGGTGCATGGTGAGTCTATGTAGTTTTTCTTTTTTCGTTGCGCCCTCCTGAAATTAAGCAATTTTTTAATTTTCTTGATTTTTTTCTTATATCCCTCTAATATGTTGGGACTTGAAAAGAAAATGTGTTTAAGAATTGTGGAAAAAAACCATAAATATAATTTTTCTTTCTGTGTGTCTTTCTTTGGATTTTTCAAAGGTTTTGGTTGGTTGTAATAGTTCATAATATTTCCTTCTCTAATCGCACTGGGTAAAGTAAACTATCCATAAACTAAAATGATTAAATTATAATTCAAATTATCTTTTCATTTCTTTCTTTTACCTACTCCAATTAGAAAATCATTTTATCATTAATTTCATTAAGCTGGTTTAAAATAATTTTTCATTATAGCTGTATATAGATATTGATTTGAGATTGAGGATAAATGTTGGGAATTGAGTGGTAACTTGATTTTCTTTTTAAGTACCTATCAGAGTTTTAAGAATCTGTATTTATAAATTAGAGACTGAAGGATTAGGTATAAAGATTGTATTGAATTTTATTTTTAGACCACTTCATCATATAAAAATACAATCAAGTACATAAAAAATAACATTGCAAGTATCTTATACGGCAAAGTCTACTACAAATTAACCAATTATATTTATTTTAATCTAAAAAAATTTATGTTTTAATATTATATAGATAAAAAATTAAAAGAGTATAAAAAATAAAAATATAACGAGCATTGTTAATGTGCAACATACGTCATAAAAAAGACTACTACTATATATAAAAGTAAGAATGAGGCGGGAATAATGAGATTGCCGATATTGTCATTATAGAATTTAAGATATCCTAAAATAACCTTGGTCTTAGCCAATTAAAAAATTTAACCTAAAAATATATATAATACTTCTATAATTTGATTGGATGTTTTTTTTTATTTTTTAATAGATAATATATATAAATATTTAAGCATTTCAAAATTTTAAATTTTTACCATTATTATCTTATTATGTCTAACTATATTTTATTTCGTCTAACTATATTTAATTCATTAAATTAATTATGTAAAATTATTAATAATAATTTAAATATTTTTTAAATTATTAATTATTATAATTTATAATTTAGTTTTCAGCCATTCATATTTTAAAATAATATATGTGGAAAACATGAGGCATTTGGAAAACTTTTACATTTTTTTGAATTTATTTTAAATAAATAATATCTAAAGATGAATTCAAATTTGATTTTAAAAAAGGAATATGATTAAATTTTTATAATTTAATAAATTTGCCACTATATTTTGATTGAAAAACCAAAAATTAAGATTAAAAAGATTATTATTCTTAAACAATCTTTGAAATTTTAATTATTAATATGGAATGTCTTACATATTCAAATCTTTATTTATTTTAAAGAAAATAATATTTCAATAATTTTTAAATGGCCCTTTCATGATTTCAATTGGCAAAAAATAAAAAAATAAAAATGGAAAAATTTATAATAGTTTAATTTAAATTTAAGTTAGATTGGTTTTATTCTAAATTGTAAATAATATTTATTTACTACAATAGAGAATTTAATAATGAAAGGTTTATTAACAAAATAAATAAAATAATTATAAAACTATAATACGAAAGCTAAAGAATGAATTTTTTTATAAAATAATTTTGGTTTTTTCTTTAAAAAAGGAAAATGAAAGCAAACTATGTTAATAAAAATTATCATGAAATCAGTATAATAAAAATTATATGAATCAGTACATTGATATATAACCAAAATATTTATTGTATCGATAAAGTATATTGTATTTTAATCACTCAATCTAAATAAGAATTTATACTTTAATATTATATAAATAAATAACTAAACGAGTATAAGTAATGAGCATATAACGAGAATAGTCAACGTGTAACGCACATTATAAAAAAGACGAATCATAATTAAATGGGTACATATATCGATAGTTAGTAGTGGATACTAAAAATTTAAATTGGTATAGTTGTCGAAAAATCCCAAGGAGTAATTTTACTGGTTAAACCATTCTAATCTTGTTTATAAGAGAAAATTAGTACGATCCCTGTGTTTATCCCTGATTTTTTTAAAATATACTAGTTTATATTTATGTTTTGCTTCTGATACACTATTAAGTCATTTTGTTTAATTTTTATATTTTTTATTAAGCCAATAAGAAAACACAGATGTCAAATAAAAGATACTAAAATATTATATCAGAAAAATTATAGCGCAGTTCCTATAATTTGAAAAATATAACTAGTTCGTCCCTTTGTTTTTTAAAAATAAAAAGAGTATTTTCGTCATTTCATAAGATACTTAACAGA